AAAGTTCTATTTTTCCTTTAAAGATATTCACTAGTTCAGATTTTCTCAAAAGTCATATCTGCTCAGTTTCGTATCCGAAACGTAAACAAAATAATTTCTACAGAATTAACGGCTTTTATTTTTTTTATCCGACTTTTTTTTTATTATTTCAAACGTTATTTTTGGTGGATATCAGTGTTTGAGTAGACGTTCCGTTTATTTTAAACAGAGTTTAAAAATCAATCTTGCTTGATTGTAAACTTCTGCGTAACCGAGTGGTCAAATCACGCCAGATCAGATGATGATTTCTCTGCAAAGAGAGACGCAGGTTCGAATCCTACCGGAGGGCACATTTTCTCTATTAGGTTTTCTCGAGTAAGAAGACAGGTAGACGAAATAAACACGGTTTAAACAGGTGGAACGTCTACTTAAATAAGCGCATCCATTAAAAATAACGTCTGAAGTACTAAAAATTAAGACACTTTTTCAAAAACCTATCACAAGGTGAAAAGAACTGCTACCACTTTCTTGTAAAATCTGAACAAGTTTAGTCAATATAAAATATAATACTATGAGAGTATTATCGCAGTATTATGGTTAACAAGCTAAACTTTCTGATCATCTACTTTAATAAGCACGAGCGTCACTTAGTGACCAATACTTATGGCTTTATCCTACCAAGGTTTCCCAATCTGGGCGATATCGCATACCGATAGGCAAGGAGCAACTGAACTGAAAATGGTGGGAGATTGAAAATTTTGGTGAACGATATAGGACTTTCAATATTAAAAAGTATTTCAACATATGCTGTCTGAAAAAATATTCAACTATACAAGGAACCTGTACATAAAAAAAACAAAAAAAAAAAAACAGGAGGCTTTATGGGAATAACTGGATCACATTCCGAGATAGGGTATAAATATCCCCGCAAACAAGGAATATTTTGGTATTTTCTAGTTTTGTAAAAGGATATTAACATTCAAATAGAGGAAGTAACATTTTTTCGAATATAAACCAGATAAGGAAAGACCAAGAAAAACGTTGCCAGTAAAATTAAGTGACCTCAGGATAATTTTTATTTAATATAAAATTGTCTTTAAATTTTTTTTTTTATCACATTGGCCATCTCGAATTTTTCAAGGCAGGAAAAGTGAGTCGAAACAAATTTACCCATCAATATATGTTTTTGAATATTTATTATGCAGGTGGGTAGTGGAACATTTTTCCAAATGAAAGTATGCGATGACGCGAAAAATTTGGGAACCCCAGTCCTATAGTAAGCTTAACTTAATACGTTAAAAAAAAAATAACCCTCTCAAGAAAAAGTATAGATATTCTAAGTGGAGACAACTCTCTGTTAAATTACGAAATTAACTCCCCTGAAAAAATGTCCACTTTAAAATTCTTTTAAATGTTTCATCTTTTCTGTATGTATTTGATTTGTTTTTTTGTTTTTTACGGTTTATCAATCCTTTCTGGGTTATTTCAAACCGAAATATCTTTTGTATTGGAAGAATAATTCATTTTTTTTAACAATATTTTTTTTCTTTTTGCAATAACAATTTTTTTAGAATAACATTCATTTTTCCAGATACAAGTCCTCTACTGCGATGGCCAACCCGCGGTTCGCAAGCCACATGCGGTTCTTTGACCTTTAAAATACGGCTAGTAGAAATATGTTGGCTGAGCTCCTTTTTTCATTAGAATTCTTTAAAAAAATGTAAATAAGAAAATTTTCAAGCTCTATAATTATTTACTGGGTATGAATTGAGATCCTATTGGGTTAAAACGTAAATTAATGTTCATGGTTAGTAAAAATATTTGGGAATTTAAATCCTAATTTTAATGCTAGATCTGAGTGAGGCATTGTTCTTTAGTACTGAAGGAAGTAATGGTGAGATTAAAGAAATTTCCAGTCAGCAAGGATTTCATAGGAATGTCAAAAGACTGAAATCAAGAGTAAGAAGACTAAGGGGACCGCACTCAAATGCAGTGTAACACAAGACATTGAACTGTGCAGACCTACTTGGCGCACTTCGGATACAAGTTTTATTTAAAAGTGTCTGTGAAAATTTTGTGAAGAAAGATGGCCTCCTTAAATTGTAAGAATCGAAGACATGAAAATAAAAACAGAAATTTTAAGCCAAAGATGGAGGAAGATTTTGCATTCACCGTTAAAGGAGGCAAATCTTTGTGTCTTATCATCCATGTGTTACACACATAAATTTTGTTCATGTCTCAAACATTTAAACTTTATCATATGCGGCTTTTACATTAAGCAAATTTGCCCACCCCTGATATAATACATAGCTGAGATGGATTCATAGCTTTTCTACGGGTCTTTGTAAAACAGTAATTTTGTAAGAAAACCAACTTAAATTCGAACTCGGCACCCGAATTTCTCATTCCAAAACAGTATTCATTCCTCCAGGACATTGGCGATGATGATTTGAAAAAAATCTACCTTTTATGATCTGCGAATTACGATAAGTTCTTGGGGAATGTAGTGGAGTGGTTTTCCATTTTCTTCTCCACAGTTTCGAATTCAAAGTAGTCCTTCTCCAATATATATATTTTTTTTTAATGAATTGCCATGACTTCTTTGGAAAGGTCATGGCGTGATTTCCTAGTGACCACTCCATAGTGTTTATTTTCCACCATGACAATGCAAGACCACATGTTATAAAACAGAGTTTACGGAAGTTAAAATAGTTGAATATAGAAACCCTCTTGCACCCACCATCGCTTATGTCCATACCACATTGAAGCTTTGGTTCCCATACGATCGCTGCTGAAGTTAAGGAACATCAAGCCTGGTCAGTACCTATATGGGTGACCTCTTGGGAAGCTTGCATGTGCAGGCGGTGTAATGAATAACGGCTCAGAATTGGCAATTTGAGAGTTGAGTTTCAATTCCAGTTAGGTTTGTTATATTCACTTACGTACAAATACTCTTGGGAAAGGGTCTGGATCTACAAATTCTCAAGCTGTGGTTAATTGGTAGGACTTGCATTACTAAATCATTATCTTCAAAAAGTCCTTACAACATAAAAATATTTTCTGACTTTAAATAACCTGCAAAAGGTTGATAAACCGTAAAAAACAAATTAATCAATCCATGAAGAATCCACTTGGCTGCTTCAGATTTCATTTGTTCCAGTCTCTGCAGAAATTATATGACAAAAAATTTGACTATGTACAGTCAGTCCAAAGCTATCTCAATATTCTTCCAGCAAAAAAAAAAAAAAACACAAAGTGGCATCAACAAGCTTGTAGAACGATGGAAGAGAGTTGTTAAAAAACAATGGAGATTATGTGCTTGACTAGTAAATTTTTTTTTTTTGTGAGGACATAAATTATGATTTTAATTGTGATACTGAGGCTGTGAGGTGCTTAAACATTGATTCTGAGTAGAAAAGCATTAAGCCCAAAATGGAATATGAGCTTGGAGAAAGAGAGAGAGAGAGAGAGAGTGAGTGAAGACATTTTCCTTGGTGAAAATGGGACCGTCTGAATTTCTTCTCTCCTAAAGTTTATTTTTCTTATCTGTCAAGAGTCTGGCAGGCGGATAAAAACAGATTTAGAGAACAATTTTATCTCTTTCTTCAGAAATTAGGAAAACATATCACTGGTGAACAAAAAAGCAGAGAATTATATTTTTGTTAGTGAAAACGAATTGAGAAATGAGGTTAAGATTATTAAAATCGATCCGTCATAATAGGCAGGTGATCTGGCTTGTTTTCACTGAGATGGCAACCAACCCAAGGATGGAAAGAGTCTCTCTGTTGAGAATTTAGGTAAACAAATATACTCTCATTGATGAAAACAAATTGGAAAATAATTTTCTCTCACTCAGTAGGTTAAATAAGAGCGATTTTTCTTAACAGGTCAGATGTACTATACAATTAAGGCTGGAGTTATAAAAACAAATTCTGTCATCAGTGGTCTAGTATACATTTTTGCTGGACAAAGATAACTACAGGAAAATAGAAAAAATTCAGAGAATTAATATTAATGACTAAAATAAAACACCTCCCTTCCGCCTACACACTTTAAAAATTCGATTTGTCACAAAGACAGTTATGCATGCCCTGGGAAATAGGCTGAGGTTGAATGCTAGGAGGGTAGGAGGAAGAAGGAGAATTTCACACCGCCTGTATGGAGTAGTGGTATGAGATATGAAGTGAAGCAGGTGGGAGTTAGAGAAGGCACTATCCCTGTAACTTTTCCTAAGGTAGGTGGATAATTCTCCAAATTTGAAAATTTGATTACAAAAGCAGAAATAAGGAACAAAGAAAGTTATTAGAATTAATGTGAAAATTAAAGAATCAATGAATTCCAAGAACTCCATGCCAGTTTGAGGTCGAAGTGTATATAAGCAGATGATTTTTGGGTAGCTCAAAGACTTGGGCTGAGAAACCACATTGAGTGCCTTTGGAATCCACGTCAGTTGCCACCAGAATTCCTGATTCCAAGACTTTGAACCCAGCCTTCCAGAAGTCTAGACAAGGCCCAGATGCAGGAAGGGTTAATTTTTGTTGTCCCAAGAGCTATATAAACCAACTGAACATTAACCTCACAAATCTCTCATTCTATTTTTCATCATGAAGATATTTTTCTTCCTTAATATAGCATCCACCATAACTTGAATCAGTGCTACCATTAGGATGACATTCGATCTTCCACTGTTCTGAGATCAACACAATGTGAGCAGAGACCAGTGCCGAGTTAGCCTGTGGTTAAAGCATCATCCTAACATCCTAATTGGGTACAAACTTTTTGCAATGATCTAATAAATGACCAAACAGTGTGATTCAAGTTTGTTTTACAGAGATAACAAAAGTTCGGTAAACAATAATTATCAACAATGAACAGTTCAAACTTGTATATATATATATATATATATATATATATATGCAGAAAAATAAAAACAAAAATTTATAAAAGAATAAAAAATAAATTTATTTGCATTTCTCAATTTCATACCCTCCCGAATATTTTATTTATTTTTTTTTTTTTTTTTAAGATGACCCAAATTTTTTCATCTTCAATACGGGTGGTAAATCATCCTTTATTGCTTTTGGTGTCCTTTCTACAAGAACAAGCTGTCCATCACTCAGTGCCTTCAGTCCAAGAATGAACTAAAACAGAAATGAAAAAGGAAAAACAATAAAATTTTGACAATAATATTGTGTGCAAAAAATTTATTGATTATCTGTTTTTCAGCATATCAACACCTTACAGGTCATTGAATCCAAAATTTAATATTCTTGGGAGCTTGGAAGTAATAAAAATATGATATACTATTCTGCTTTCACAGCTGAGTACATGGTAGATAATACTTAGCTTTTGTGCATACACATGTGGACGTAATTCCTCATAGCAGTGATGAATGTTTTATGTTGTAGTTTTGTTGAAGTTATATTTTGGAATATGATTTAATTTCTTTAAGAAATTGTAAGATATTATATGGATTAATGTCATGAAAGACTTCTTTCATGTTGGTTGTTCGGTAGTACTTTACACGGATTTAGGTGAAGTCTCTAAAATTTGTTAGTATGTGCATATTAAAGTCTCTCAAAAATTCCAGGCTTATTGACATTATTGTTTGATGTTTACCCAAAACCATTTATCCACCAAATATGCTTGCAGTCATGAAAAATATTATTATTATTCATTAGAAAGATTTTTATCTCACCTTGAATTTTCCAGTGATATGAAAGGCATGTAACTCGCTCTGTGGCCCCTGAACTCCAAATCTCTTGTATTTGATACTTCGATCTGGGAAGGGCTGTATATTTTAAAAAAAAAAAAAAAAAAAAAAAAAAGGGAAAAATTAAGATAATTCATTTAATCAGAAAAAAAAAAAATCAAAAAACAAAGATTTCATAGAAAACACAAAACCAGTGAGGCAACCTTTTCACCAGTTAACAATTAGTGCTATTTTAAGATTGATGGTCATTTATTAAATAAATAACTATTATAATTGTGTCATAGTTTGAAAAAAAAATAAAGAATTATATACAATATACCTCACCTGATTGTCAAATACTCAATATTCATCAACACAGGCCAACCTCACCTGTGGTGGTGAATTTTATATCAACCCTACAGGTTTATTTTATATAGAAATCACTTTTTTATTATACTTATACATAAACAAGGGTTGGCATAAAGCTCTGGTCTATAGCTAAACGAGGCTCAGTTTTATGCTTGTGTTTACAGTTAAAAAGGTCAGCTTTATGCTCAGATCTACAAATAAAAAAGTGTTGCCTTTATGCTAAGGCTTACAAATAAAGAAGGGTCAGTTTCATGCTTGGGTGCATGAATGTAGCAAACTCGCCTGGAATTCAAACATATATCTCCAATTTCTCATTCTGAGCAGCTATCCATTATATCACCTGCACACTCTGACAAAGTGTATATTATGAAGATATGTAGGATAGATAATGGTTGATTCTAGCCTTGAAGAGGTTAAGATCAGAGTGATCAGGGAAGCATCCTTTCAGGAATCTGTTCCACAAAGTAACAACTCTGGAAATGAAGCTCTCTTCTTCCTTATTAATGGAATATGAAGGGAATGAGGATGAGTTGATCCTGTGTACATGGCATGGCAGGTCCTAGCTGTTAAGATCTGGATTAGTGGAACTAAGGAATGTAGTGTTGAACGAGTATAGCATGATTAATTGATTCATTAATAGAATATTTTTTACAACTCTTTTCATTATTTGAAATGGAAATATTTTTGAATCAATACTTTTATCTTGTTCTGCAAGTAAATATTGCATTAGCAATTTTTTTTTTAGATAAGTGACTTTTTCAAATACAAATCCTACTATTTAACATATGTGCTGATTCCTTAAGTTTTTGTATTTTCCAGTGATGTTCTCTGTCTATTATTTCAACCTCATTACACAGGGGGCAGTGATCTCTCTTTTCCCTCCATATGTGGTCAGCTATGCCTGATTTTTCTATATGCTAGACCACAAAAATCTCCTAAGCATAGAAATGAATACAATATGGGAGCCAGTAATATGGAGTGCTAGAAAAAAACAATAGCAACAATAGCAATTGTTAATATGAGCTCTGGTAAAAAATGATTACTTAAACATTAGGTTTTTAAGTCCCAATAATTCATACACTGATGTCCTCAAGGACACCTCGATAAAAGCGTTGGTTGAATCCAGTGACTTGACCCAAAGAGTTGTGAGCTCAATACCTGGCTACAGCAGAGATGAACAAAAGCTTGGAGAGTCAAGTTAAAAGGGAGATAACTGATACTGAGACATCCAGAAGAGGCATGGCACTTGGAACTAGAACAATCTACCCCAGTGGATGAAATAGTTCAAAATTCCAGTCCTCTGAAGAAGGCCAGAGCATGCAACAGCTGAAAGGTGAATATGGCAACAAAGATGAGGACAACAAACCGAACAATAGTGTAAATAATTACAATATCTCATCTCAGAAATATAGACAGATATTTTTTTTTCTTTTTTGCAATAGTTGAAGGGTCAGTTTGGTAGTTACAATTCATCTTACTTATTATAAAACACAGATTGTGTGTGTGTCTGTACGTTTATATATTGGATCAGATTTCCTACATTTTTCAACCAATTTCAACAAAACTTCACAGGACTATGTAAAATTACCTTGCGATGGTTCTGACAGCACCAAAAATTGGAAAAACACAATTGTTTTTGCATGAAATCAGTTTGAAAACACGATTAAGAGGCATCGCGAGAATGGGGACAACTCATTTTTATACAATTAATGTCGATTTTGAGTTAACAAAAAAACCAGGTTGGTTGTGTGTGCATATGTGTTTTTTTTATATATGGGATCGGTTCCTACATTTTTTTTCAAACCGATTTCAACAAAACTTCATTTTTTTTGGCACTTGTTTTTATTTTTATTTTTACATTCAGAATGCTTTAAAAATTCCATTTACAAGACAATTGTTTATAATAAAATTCTATTCAATCGGTAGACTCATGACTGAAAACAATGTTTTTCTTTGAGTTTGGGTTTGACCAAGTCGTAAAAAAAAAAAAAATAAAACTAATTAAGACATGCATGTCCGTCAACCTTAAACAATAATCTTTGTCAATTTTATTTTTCAGTCTTTATGATGGTCGATACTTGATCTATCTCTTACTGTTACATCCCCGGGCAACGCCAGGCTCTACTGCTAGTTTTAAATAGTTTGCCATGGCGAACAAGAAAATCACTAACCTCAAAAAAGAGGTTGTGTCCTATGCACGGTTTGCCAAAGAAAAAAGAAAAAATAAATCCTAAATAATTGCTGCCTTAAGCATACCTCATGTATCATTTTTTTTGGAATCCACCCAAATATCACAACCAATCACAAAATTTACCTCCTCAATAAAAGCTTTTTGGTTTGTGAGCAAGAGCAAGTTCACTGAATTAGAATCTGTAAGTTGGATATCTTTTACCTTATTTTATTTTGCCTCTTGAACTTTTAATGTTCGACTTGTGATTTCTGATTTCTATACTACTTGTCTTTCCTGGTGAAATGATTAAATAAAATAAATATATTTTAAATTTATATCCATCTATGCATGTCATTCTGTTCATATCTGTCTGTGCCTGTCTGCAGCGGAGAGAAAGGTGTATTTGGATATTTCCATAATATTTAATACACTTCTGATTCTTACATTTAGTTTAAATGTCCACTAGTAACATATTTTGACATAAAATTAATAATTACTAAGAAAAAACTAAATATTTTCACGCATAGAATTCTTAATTAAATACAAGCAAAAATAAAAGAAGAAAAAAAAAAGGTAAATATAAGCATAAATTATAACCCAGATTTATATTTCCCCTCCCCCTACATGTATATAATTCCATCAATAAAAGGATTACCTGACAAAGTCCCTGAAACATGTATCATAATTTTAACCATCAATAAAACCCGGATTCTGGGTCGAATTAGATCTGACAAAGTCCTTTTCCTCCCGCCCGTGGGAAGAGAGTTTAACCGTGCAGTCGGTTCTGAAACATGTGACAGAACATTTTTCATTTTGTCATTCCCATCTGTGTATGTGAAGTTGTGGAAAATTTTATATTCACAGGACGTATTGAAGGCAAAAGGCACAGAGAAAAACAACACATAACCTACCCAGAGGGGGTTGTGTATAGCTGAACAAGGTTTAGGAGAGATAACAAAAAGACAAAATTTATTAAGAGCTACAAAGGACAGGAAATTGTGGAGAGTCATGATCGTCAACATCCTGACGAGGCTTGGCACACTGTTTTTTTTTTTTTAAATCATTTCACACCAAGCAAGGGAATAAAGCCACTAAGACAAGGGGTGACTGAGAGCTAGAGAATATGAGGAGAGAAAAATCATTATTGAGAAAGCAAGAAAGAATATGACAACAAACGGAGATAAAAACTCATTGTTTTGAAGGCACGAAATCATCTTTTCGTCATAAATAATCAATTGGTTTTCATTGTTTCCAAATCCTGTTTTTCTTAAAGCCACTGTGGATGGAAATTCAAACGTTTTGACCATCATTCTTGGTGTAACAGTATTCAAATGAAACTCTATGAAAACCCATGTGAGAAAAAGGTTTTCTCTCGCTCTCAAGTGTTTTTGCTTAATGGACCAGCAGATGGTTCCTTTTCAAATTTTCGTCCACTAAATAAATGAGAGGTTGAATCAGTGATTTTTTTGAAGATTATGTTTGGGTTATCCGGGGGCTGGTCTATATTTAAACAAAAAGAAACAAAAAAACAACTAGTGCATAATTTAACTACAGTGTAACCCGGATATAAGAGAGATTGTCTCTGGTCCCAAATTAGAGCCTGTGTTAATGTATATAAAATAGACCAAACCCGAATATAAGAGAAACCCGGAATATTTTCTGGTCCCAAATGAGAGCCTGTGTTTGTATATAAAATAGACCAAACCTGAATATAAGAGAAACCCGATATAATTTTCTGGTCCCAAATAACAGTATTATATAAAATAGACCAAACCCGGATATAAGAAAACCCGGGGAGGGAGAGCCTGTGTTAAAAAAAAGACCAAACCTGAATATAAGAGAAACCCGGATATAAGAGAGATTTTCAAATGAGAGCCTGTGTTAATGTATACTAAATAGACCAAACCCAATATAAGAAAACCCGGATATAAGAGAGAAAAATGAGAGCCTGTTTTATATAAATAGACCAAACCCGAATATAAGAGAAACCCGGATATAAGAGAGATTTTCTCTGGTCCCAAATGAGAGCCTGTGTTTGTATATAAATGGACCATATAAGAGAAACCCGATGGTTGTCTTTTCCCAAATGAGGCCTTCTAATGTATATAAATCCAAACCCGGATAGAAAACCCGGATATAAGAGAGATTGTCTCTGGTCCCAAATGAGAATGAATCAGTATAAGATTTTTTGAAAATGATTAATGTGACAAAATAGACCAAACCCGAATATAAGAGAAACCCGGATATATCCTGGTCCCAAATTAGGTCTATATTTAAAAACAAAAAGAAACAAAAAAGATTTTCAACCCAAATGAGAGCCTAATTTAACTAAAATAGACCAAACCCGAATATAAGAGAAACCCGGATATAAGAGAGATTTTCTCTGGTCCCAAATTAGAGCCTGTGTTAATGTATAATATAAGAGAAACCCGGATATAAGAGAGATTTTCTCTGGTCCCAAATTAGAGCCTGTGTTATATAAAATAGACCAAAACCCGGATATAAGAGAAACTTATAAGAGAGATTTCTCTGGTCCCAAATGAGAGCCTGTGTTAATTATATCCAAACCCGGATATAAGAGAAACCCGGATATATATTTTTTTCCCAAATGAGAGCCTTTTAAAAAAAAAAACCAAAAATATAGAAAATCTATAAGCAGTCAATTGCTGATACCTACAAAAATGAGAAAATGCAGTCAATTGCTGACAGAAGTGGACAAACAATTACAAAAAAGCTGAGACACTAAATATAACATCAATCACCTCAGTGACAAATTTTATTTGCATTAATCCTATATATATATATATATATATATATATTAGTTGGATAGATGTGAGTTTGTGACCCTGGGTTTCACGATTTTGACGATCGCTAAAGCGTGAAACCCAGGGTCACAAACTCACATCTATCCAACCAAATATGTTAGCTCTATCTCTGATATTGAGCGCTTTCTAATAAGTAAGTACCATAATATATATAAAATAATTATACATATATATATATTTATTTATATTTATATTCACTTTCACATATATATATATATATATATATATATATATATATATATATATGTGTGTGTGTGTGTGTGTGTGTGTGTGTGTTAAACAGTGTTCCTAAGAAAAAGTAAAATAAAATCCTACAAAAGTGAAAAACTAAATACAACAAAAATGTCAATAATTCTTATAACAAACTCTTTACAATTAAACCTATGCAAAGAAAATGGAATTCTCTAGAAAATTTCAAGTAGAAGTGCTAATAATATCCCAACAAGATATATATTCCTTCTCATCAGCTTCACTTCTACTCATTTTTTTATAAATTATTTCACCCCCAAAAATAGGCAAATGAAGGGACACAACACATAGAAGAAGAGGCAGTGAAGGCAATAATAATCATGGAATAGATGACAAGATATCTTTTTTTATTACTCTCTCCTTAAGTCTGCCTATAGAGGCAGACCTGAACTTTGCTCTCCCAGAGAATCCAGAACCAATTATGGTAAATTAGAAAAAAAAAAAAAATCTAAGAAGGAATTTAATAATGACAGTATTAACAAAATCGGCAGAGGAAAGTTCGGGGGGACATGCTGTCACTTGATACCCAGCTGAAACCACCAGTGGGAATAATACTGGCTCAAATGTTGTTTTTAAAGTCAAAGGATCTACTATGAATTAGTAAGAAACAAAGTGATTAGTAAATTAGTAAGCAAACAGTGCAATTAAATACTAATATTATTTACCTCCAGATCACTGTAAGCAAGGAATAACACTGGTTTATTTGGATGAAAGCTTATTGCTGTGGGTAGATATTTACGTACTGGCACCGTTGTCACATGCTGTAAAGAAGAAAAATAAAAATGATCAATAACTACAAACAGATAAATAAATATAATAACTGTAGATAAAATTTACATGTATACCCATTAATAGCATTAGCATTAAACTCCACTTGCAGGAAACAAACTTGCTACCTGTGTTTGTGTTTCAATAACTTGGACTGATTTTAAGTGTGAATTAAGTTTAAGTGTCTAATGAATTTTTGTTTTTTTTTCAGATTTAACAACTTAAGTCTTTGGCAATTTCAATCATGGAAAGATCGGTCCAAATTATTGGAACACACTTTATTAATAAAAAATTTAATAAAAGTATTTAACAATAAAAATAATTGTTTATTTTCAACAGCGATTGATAAATTGTCATCTAAATTATGCAAAAATGGAAATAACACTAACATATCATTTTAACAGATATATTTACCAAATTTACACAAAAATATCTTGAAATACTAAAGTGTAAATTTCTTCAAGAAAATCGAAATTGGCTCGTAATAATCAAGGGAGTTGCAGTCTGGGGAGTTACGTGTCTAGATGTAAGGGGTGATGTAGTTGCAGAAATGACAGCTATGACTGGGTTCTCCTCCTTGTGTGTCATGGTGTGTATATATATATATATATATATATATATATATATATATATATATAATTATTTCCAAATGTAGGCATGAGAATAAATACCTATTATCAGGATACCAAAATAAATAAATAAATGAAATAAAACACCAACAATCACTTTTTAGTTCAGGCTACCACCACAATAATTATATTTATTGTTTTTATCATTCTCCCACCACCATTACTAATCACTTCTACGAATTTACAATAACTATTAGCTACTTATATTATCATTGCCACCAATCCCCTTACAACATTACTATCACATCACATCTACTATTATCATATAAACCCGCTAGAATTATTAACGTAAACTACCCCCCTCCCCCCAGCATATTTAATACCACCATAAAAATAACCAATAAGGATTACAAACTGCAACATACAAATGCGTATGTATATAGACAAAAGCACACATACATACATACATATGTCAAATCCCATACTGTCCACATATGTTTATGTCTGTTTGAGCCCCAGCGGATGAGTGAGTGTGTATGTGTGTCTGCGTACCTCATTGGGTGTACGGACATGCATCTATGTTTGCGTTAGCATGAGTGACATCATGACAACGATTCCCCCCCCACTTCCATAATAACACCAATACACGCAATCTACATAAAATGGCCCGGCGCTGTTGAAGCTTGATTCAAAAATCGTAATGACTCATACAGCAATCGCTATCACTTGACTTAAATATTTTTGCCCTTCCTTGCCTTTAAAGGAGTGCCTTTTGCCATGCTGATGTTGCTACATGCCTTACTTCTTTTTTATCTCACACTGCAAATTTTTTTTCTAAGCTCTATACTAAACATTAAATCTGTTACGAAAAAAAACTAAACAAAAATGAACACAAAACGATCAGCTTTAAAAATGGACTCGTAACTGGAAAAACTGAATGAAAAAAGAATGTTAACAACAAATACTTTTTCACACCAAACCCAGCTCTGTGGAAACAGAATCAACATTGAGTTTAAGCAAGCGAATGAGCCAATTGGAGTAAAGTGCCATGCAGATTTAAATTTTTCCCACTTGTGACGAATGCAGCTATTGATTTTTTTAGCATACTAGTTAACATTCGTGTCAGCCAGCTGTTGGCTCTCACACTGGCCAATACAAAATGGCCGCAAACTACATGAAAACTGCCGTAGAAGCATGAAAAAAATCGATTATTTCCACTATTGATGGGAGTTGGGAAATGCAAAGTCAGTCTTGGCCTACCCACTAACTTGGAGGATGTGCATGTAAATTTTGGTGCAAATCATCAAAATTGTGTATGTGCATTGCATTACATTCACACACACTGCCTTTTATAGATATATATATATATATATATATATATATATATATATATATACGCACACAGAGAGTTCCCCTCCAAAAGTATTGGGTCACTTCCTTTGTTTTTGTTGTTCAATGAAGAAATTTGGGTTTAAGATCACAAGATGGATATGAGACATGTTCAAAATTTCAGTTTTTATTTCATGGTATTTACATTTAGATCTATTAAACAACTTAGAACATACCACCTTTTGTATCAGATCAGCCCATTTTTAAGTGAGCAAGAGTAAAGGAACAGAAAAGTAAATGACATTTAACATTTGCTTGAATAACAATTGCTAGCAATAACTACATCAATCCTGTGACCCACTGACGTCACGAAACTGTTGCATTCTTCATTTGTGATGCTTTTCCAGACTTTTAACAAAGTCTCTTTCAGTTCTTGTTTGTTTCACAGGATTTCTTCCTTCAGTCTCCTCTTCAGAAGATGAAATGCATATTCTTTTGGGTTAAGGTCCAGTGATTGACTTGGCCAGTCTAAAACTCTACACATTTTTCCCCTGATGAAGTCCTTTGTTATGAAGTCTTATGTTTTGTGTTATTTTCCTGCTGCATGATAAAGTTCCTCCTGATTGGTTTGGATGCATTTCTCTGTAAATTGGCAGACAAAACATTTCTGTTGACTTCTGAATTCATTCTGTTGATACTATCATGAGTTACATCATCAATAAATCTGAAGAAGCCTGTTCAAGTAGCAGCCATGCAAGCCCAAACCAAGACGCTGCTACCATCATCCTTCACAGATGAGCTTGTATGCTTTGAATCAAAAACAGATTCTTTCTTTCTCCACACTTTGGCATTTCCATCACTTTGGTAGAGATCAATCTTGATCTCATCTTTGTACTTCCTTGCAAATTCCAATCTGGACTTCCGATTCTTACTGCTGATAAGTGGTTTGCATTTTGTGGTAGGGCCTCTACAAGAATTGGCTTTGCCGTTCAAATACTTTTGGAGGGGACTGTACATATATATATATATATGCATGTTTCATTAAAAACGACAGACAAGGTACTACAGTTGAGCTTTTTATTTAATTTTTCTTGTGTTCTGACAAGAGCTTTCTTTTCTGGACAAAGAGTGTGTAAGAACTGTCCGAATGTTCTGTATTTCCAAGCGCTTTCGGCTATACCTTTAGCCATTATCAAGGATTATTCAATTATCAGCTTAGTAGAGTGTGTGTGTTCTGTGTATGTTCAGTGTGTGGTAGTGATGTTTTAATTTCCGAATACGGTTAGCACATTATGGCTTTGTTCATAGTTAATATTGTTAAGAGTTGGCTTTTTCTTTTTTATTATTAGAGCTTCCATTATTTTTAGTCTTTTTTTGCAAGTGGATGCAGTTAATATATTTGTGTTTTCTACTAGTATGTTCCTAATAGTGTCGGGTAAATCTGAGTGTGTGTTTAAATGTGTTCTGATGGAACTGTGATCAGATAGGTGTAATGTAAGACGTCTGGATAAACATGTGGTTGTGTAGCCGATGTAATTATTTATGAGTCCTGTTTGGTGAGGAACGCAGTTCCTTAAAGGGCATTTGAACTCATAGATAATGTTTGTTCTTTGTAATTTTGACTTAGTTGGTGTGTTGTTATTTTTTGAGGATAAGGTTGGCCGTCTTAAATTTTTTATAATAGATAATAAGTTTGATTTTTTTATTAGGATCAATAGGAGTAGTATATTTCTTTATATATATATATATATATATATATATATATATATATATATATATATATTTATTTTTTTAAAAAGTTATAACATAAATGTTATAAAATCACTACAAAAATAGCTATTTTGTTTCAACACCCCGTGTCTTATCAAGTGATGATGTTGAATGTAAAATAAATGGTTTTAAAAGTTTCAAATTAATTAACAATCCTTCAAGAAGGGGAAAACGTTACAAAAGCTAGAATGACCAATCAAAATACAAGTATAGGAAAATTCAAAAAGCTTGACAACGAAGTCATGTTATAATAGCTATTCAGATCTTTAAAATACGGGTAATATTAAAAAAGAATTTATTCTAACCAATAATTATTATATTATATGATAAAATTTGATATTAAAATTAAAAACTGCCAATTTTAAAATCCAAATTTAATCGCTATTAAGTTTAAAACTATAAAATTACTAATGGGAAAAAAAGAAATACATATGTTATTCAATTTATTTCTTCATTGAAATTACGTTAGAATAGACGCTAATATGTCATCCGGTCCTCTTACAATATATGTATACATTTTAATCCCAAGTGTGTGAATGGGGTCCCAAACTCACGCCGTAAGACAACACAAACACAATCAGATTATAATACATATAGCATATATATAGACATATATATATATATATATATATATATATATATATATACATATATATAAAAATATATATATATATATATATATAATATATATATATATATATACACACAAAAAAAACATCTCCATGGCTATATATATATATATATATATATATATATATATATATATGTGACTTACCCGAATATTTTAATTCTTTTTCCAGTTGACAAAGAACTTGTTTAAGATTTTTTAATGACTACATTAAACTTAATAAAAATCTAAGCTCAGCAAAAAAATATTTTTGTTAAAACATGAAAAATAAAGTGAGCACTTAGTGATGATGTTCATTGTGATGTAATGGAGACTGGCTTGGAATGAGAACTCAGTATATATGATTTTGAATCCCAGTCCATTTTATTATATTCACTTACACACAAATACCCTTGAAAAAGGTATAAATCCATCTCTTCTCTCCCCAGCTATGGGTTAAGTACCAGGACAGACTGGGTTCTTTAACCTTGGTCAGCAACTAGTCTACCACAGAAAGAAACATCAACCTGCTGTGGAAAAAATACATGATCAACCAAGTGTGTATCACATGTGGCACATAACTGATTTATTTGGCAACAGTCTCCAAATCTCTCACAGTAAATATTACCTCAAATATTTCAACTAAAAATAATAGCAGTAACTGTAGACAGAGAATTTTATTTCTAAAACTTTCAAATCTCTTCCCTATATAACAGCAGTGGGCAAACTACAACTTGTTCACTTGGCAGGTTTTGTTTTGGGTTATTACATAAGAATACAGGTGCATATATGTGAGGGGGTGTATGTGTACATACAGTGGCATATATGTATGATCAGGTAAATGCACACATATATGTATATATGAAGATATGTACACATATAAGTGTGTTGGACAGCACAAATTATTTCACTGGGTGCTCTGGTATTACCCACAATCTATAAATATATAACTCAATTAATTTACATTAACCGTAACGGACTTAAGCTTAAATCCTGCATCGCCTGGTAGTACAAAAACAATTTACTGTGAATCCCAGAAAAACACACTCCGGGATCTTTATATGAAACACCTTATAGTAGGAATTGATGTTAAACTACAAACAAAAAATCCTAGCCATAAATAAACTCCAAACCCAGACTGCTTCCCCTGAGATAAGATACCTTATGCCTCCACCAATCGCTAACACAATCCCACTCCCATTAATAAGGTGCCTACCAGAAATTGGCTTTGAAGAATGAATAAATAAGTGCTCTGAGAAAATTACTTTGAGGCTGATGAAAGCTATTGAGGAACAGTCTGAAATAGTCTATCCCGATGTGGAGGAAAATTTTTGTTTTTTTGCTGTAAAATATATATCTGTGGGTGTGTTATTGGTTCCTCATCCACTCTTTGATAGGTCATGATTTCTCATCCTCAGCAACAGAAAAGCTAATAGGGGAGCTAGTTTAGATGCAAACCACTCATCCCTAGGTTACATTTTACCAGTAGCAGGCCTACGCCTCACCTGACCAGAATTGTTAATGCTAAAACAAGTGTTTCTTGTAGGTTTATTATTCAAATTTTTTTTATAACTATAATGAAAACACCGCCCCCATCCCAGTGAGAGAAAAAAAAAAGTCTGTCAATCCCTTCAATATAAGTTACATAGATGTGCTTACCTCCCCTGACATTGTAGCAAAAACATGAACTTCTCCGCTCCCATTACCAGTTGCCACATATTGACCGTCAGAACTGACTTCGAGTAAATGGATAGAATCTGTAATTCCTAAACACAAAGAAAAAACATAATCTTAAAACCAAATATTCAACTTTCAAAGTTTAAAATTATAAATTTCATTAGACAGACATGCACACCAAAAGAAAGTCAAAATGTGTGTATCTGAGCAGCAATCCCATAGGGTATGTTTTATTGAAAATAATTGACAAGGTGCTTCAGTTTTTTATTGAGATTTTCTTGCATACAAACAGGAAGATTTTTTTTATTGACATACATACATACATACAGTGTTTTCTTTTTGTTGAGGCAGGACTGGGATTAATCTTGCACAAAACAAAGTGGGTCCTGCCTGACAGAAGATTTGTTATAATTGTTTGAGGCAAAGTTTTATAAGGCCAAATGCTCTTCCTGACACCTAACTCAGGCATTCACGGTAGTTCAAGTACAAGAGTTTTTATTGAGATACGATCTCTCAGAAGGTTGCCTTTCAAGGCTTGAGGCCCCATCCTAGCCTCTGTATGTGTTTAGGAAATATATTTGAGAAAGCATCAGATTCAAGAAATTCTAAGAAGATACATACTAAAACACTGCTTAAGAGGCAAAAAAGCATTTGGATTACCAATGGGTTCACCTTTAAGCAGGGTTTTAGCATGCATCTTCTTAGAATTTCTCTCTCTCTCTCTCTCTCTATATATATATATATATATATATATATATATATATATATATATATGTCTTGTTTTTAATCCTACAGAGTTTCTGACATGTGGTGTAATGGATAATGGCTCGGAAGGGTTAATCAGAAAGCAAAGTTCCAATTCCACTCAGGTTCATTATATTCAGTTATACACAAATACTGTTGGGAAAGGTATGAATCCACCTATTCTCCCTCTAGGTATGGGTTAATCAGTAAGGCTTTTATCGCTAAAACTATTATCTGAAATATAAATAAATAAATTAAATAAAATCGTGTACAAAATATTTAGATTTCAGCATTAAATAACCCATACAGGTTGATATGCTGCTAAACAAAACCACCCAAATGTTTCTCACGTCTTCACCAAATAAATCTGGCAGGCTCTTCAAGTGCTATTAGTACCATGTAATCCAATACAATCTGCTGAATGGTCATGTGAGTGGTGTGCGTGTTTGTGTTTATGTATGCATAATATGTATTTAGTACTATATTTGGTTGATTTTCTTTGACAGCAGATCAACACCTCTATGGGTTATTTAATGCCAATATCTAAATATTTTGAACACAATTTTATGGTTTCATCTACAGATAAAATGTATGGTTGGTTGGTTGATTTTGTTTAGTGACATATCAACCTCTATGGATTATTCAATACTGAAATCTAAATATTTTGCACATAATTTTATGCTTTCAACTAAAGATACTTTGTACATAATTTAATATTTTAAGAGTAATGCTATGTTTTTTAGATATAAAGTACGTAGATCATAAAATGTATCATTGATAATTTTACTATAAAAATTTATATTTTTTTAATGCTACATTGATTGTCATTATCCAAAAAAATGTATTGTTGCTCATTTTATTATAAAAAAATGTACTGTTGATTTTTGTTTGAGGGTTCACTATTTGCCCATAGCTGGGACTCTAACAGGTGCTACCACAATGGGTCAGGGTAGATCTGGGAACAACAGCAGGTAAGAGGTGGTCCCCTGCTCCTAAAAAAATCCAATCTCCCAATCAGAGGCCTTGCTGACAGATGTAGTTTAATGTCAAACCCAGGACACTATTAATGCTATAAATGTGATTTTTAGTGAGTAAACAACCAAACTTGAGAAGTCCTCCAAGAAAAAAATTGTGCCTCCTGACAGGAATTAAACCTGTATCCCTTTTTCATCAATGAAACCACTTCTAAACATGCTGCTACCCATTTGGAGGCCATCATGACAGAGCAAGGTTTGTATTACCAATTTAAGAAACTTTTGTTGAAACTTCTGCATATCTGCTAGATTCAGTCTTATACACAAAACATAACAGTCTACCCCTGGTCTACCCAGACCTAGGGTGGTAGCATCTATTGGGATCCTAGCTACAAGCAAATAGTGACCCCCCCCACAAAAAACAATAAATGACCAACAATACATTTTTATAGCAAAAGGACAATCAATGTAACAAAAAAAAATATGAAAATACATTTTTATAGTAAAATTACCCATAGTACATTTTGCGATCTACAAACCATATATATCTAAAAAACATACCTGAACATAGAAAACTATGTACAAAACATTTATATTTTGGCCTTATATAAGCCATAGAGATTTGTATGCTACTAAACAAAATCACCCAACCAACCAGTTAAGCAGCATAAATCAAAAATAAAAAGAAAGTCCCTATTGAAGACACAAGACAAAAATTTAAATACAAAAAATTACCTTTAGCCGGATTAATACATGTCACTTCATTTTGCTTGAAATTGTGAATCTGCAATGTGCCAACATCTGTGGCTAGAATGAATTTAGTGCCGTCAGGGGTGAAGATCATTTGATGAGCAGGAGGGAGCTCATTTGAGAAATCTGCTAACCGCTCGACTGATGGTTTTTCCGATTTACTCTGATCTGCAGGCTGCAAAAAGATATAAATGTCTCTTAATAACAAAAATTTCTCAATAGCTCTTGAAGCTTTTTTTTGCTTTTAACATGAAATATTGTAACTATTGGATATGAGGTGGTGTTGGAATGTTCCCAGTCTCCTTGACAATACTTTGAGCTCACGCAATACAGTAAAGTAGATGTATATGGTTTTTGAGCCGCCTGAATAATTTTCAACTCAATTATTATAATGTATTATAATGTTAATTTTACTTAAGAGGAAGATTAAAAAGAAACTTACAATATTCTAATTAAGAAAATAAGCATTTAGATCTAGAAATGCTAGTCTGCAGTGAACAGTCAAAAATTCCTTAAGAATTTAAATTTTGCATTTAACCCATTTAGGTATCATTTTTTTTTAAGGATTTTCAATGTCTAAAAATAGATAGTATGCCTAAAAACATAGGAATCAATGTCTAGATCATGATTTTCTTATAAGTACAAGGAGTGATATGTTGAAAACTGATATTTGGTGACAGGCATATGGGGCCAAAAGCAAGTAATGACCAATTTTACAAATGTTAGGAACTGAATATTTTAAATATCTTCCCCCAAAACAATTTTCTGCAGATTTAAATTGCTTTAATATTTTTTTAGTTTGATTTTGTTAGCATCATTTGGGGGAGGGGGATGGAATGCAGAGAAAAAAAAAAGGGAATAAAAAAAAAATTTTAAATGTTGTTGATTTGACTGAATAATCCACTTGATAAAGGTCATTTTTGAAAATAACAAAATTAATAGGAAATTTGGATAATTCAAATATTTAAAAACAAAATTGTATAAGAAAATATTTCAGCAAATATTTATTAATTCAAATATTTGAATATTCAAAACATATTTACATTTTATTCAAATAAAAATCGTATATATTAACCATTATTAGTAAAAGGCAAAAGAAAAGCAACTATCCAGAACTGATCTTCTAAAAGCAAATTATTAAACACATGCAAGTTTTGATTAATTTCAAAATGGTTATAACTTGACAAACACTCAGAGATAGGACAAGGACCAGTTTTGAATACTTGAAACTCTTTACATTCAGATTAGATATAGCACATCTCACTTGGGTAATGTTCACAACTTGACAAATACTCATTAGGACAAAGTTAAAACCAGTTCTGAATACCTGAGACTCTACTTTCAGATTAGATATAGCACATCTTACTTGGGAAATGTTCACAACTTGACAAATACTCATTAGGACAAAGTTAAAACCAGTTCTGAATACCTGAGACTCTCTACTTTCAGATTAGATATAGCACATCTCACTTGGGAAATGTTTACAACTTGACAAATACTCATTAGGACAAAGTTAAAACCAGTTCTGAATACCTGAGACTCTCTACTTTCAGGAAATGTTCACAACTTGACATATACTCATTAGGACAAAGTTAAAACCAGTTCTGAATACCTGAGACTCTCTACTTTCAGGAAATGTTCACAACTTGACATATACTCATTAGGACAAAGTTAAAACCAGTTCTGAATACCTGAGACTCTCTACTTTCAGACTGGATATAGCACATCTCACTTGGGACAGGTTTCCAAAATGCCAAATATCCAATTGTGAGCCTACTGTTGAGCATACATCAGATTTTTGTTCATGTTGACACTAACTAGAATCAAAACACATCATCAATGAAGCTGTTCTAGTCTGTGAGAAACTCTGAGAAGGCCTGAATTGTATGTTCACAGACTATGACATTCCGTTTTTGTTGCATCAAAATATTTCATCTATTGTACTCTCCAGCCTTTCTTAAGTGTCTGTAATATGGTGGAACGTTGGCACTTGGTCTGAGGAAAGATACAGACACCTACTGAAAGATGCATACATATTTTTTTTTTCATTTCTCTAAAATGCAAAATGATAAATTCACTCCCACCCACTCAAAAAAAAAAAAAAAGTCATATCCAGCCTTCTACCTGAAATTTTCCTTGGTTTTAATCACTGGAGAGTGGATGACAACATATCTCATTAGAAACAAGTTCCTTGTGGATCTTCATAATTTGGCAGTGAACTGGATTGTGATTCCAGAAATTCCTACATGGTGCTGAAAGCAATGAATGCAATGGTTGTCCAAAAGTGGTTGTCAAGATATCTTGCAGGAAATTCCTTTGTTGTAGGTCTTTGTACTCAGTAAATTGGGTACTGGTTCAAGATAATTTGTAAATGTTGAGGAAAGCAACAGTAACTGATCTAACAAGTTTGTGTAAATAGATGGCAAAATAGGGAGGGTACTAAAAAACCAAAAACATTACTAAGAGCTACAAAGGATAGGAAGTTGAGGAAAGCCATGATCACCAATGAAATAAGGGACACAGCACATAAAAGCGGGAGGAGGAGTAAGGCAGCAAAAGCAATAATAATCATGAAATAAACAACAAGATATCTCATTAGAAAAACTAGTTTTCCCTGGATCTTCTTACTCTGGCAGTGAATTGTAGAGGGCTTCAAGACAATTTATAAACGGTGAGAAAAACAAATAATCCTAGAGAAAATATTTCGCTAAAATAGCATTCAAAAATATCCGAGTCCAAATGGATATCAAAACAGAAGTTGGAATCAGCAAATTGAGTTAAAATTCTAGCCTAGCTTGTTGCATTCATTTTCTCACAATTTTTCTTTTTAATCATTTTACCCCAAGTAAGACAATAAAGCCACTAAGATGTAAGGGGTTACTGAGTGAAAGAATATGGGAAAAAAAAACATTATAAAAGAGAGAGAACAATAAACAAAATGAAATTTAAGAAGACAGAAGATAACAATTGACACTGCATTTAAATTTTTGATAATCAAAGTAGACTGGAAAGCAAGAAGCTGAAAAAGAGTTTCAAAAGTGAGACGTGGAAGAGAAGAAATTGTTAGGAAATTCCTTTGTTGTAGGTCTTTGTACTCAGTAAATTGGGTACTTAGTTACATCTAGTCATTTAAATAATGTAAAGATGAAACCTAACTGCCAATCTAGTGATTCATAAATTCCCTTATAAAAGGCATTAATTCATCTATTTTCCCCCCCAAATATGGGTTAAATAGCAAGATAGACTGGCTTTTCTAGAAATGAGTAGCATCTAATCTTAGAGATGGAAAACTCTGAAATTCATAAACATGGAAAATGCAACAGGAAACCACTCCACTATTTTTCCCCAAGAAGTCATGGTAATTCACAGATAATAAAGTAATGGAAGCAGTGCAGAATGATGAAAGGACACAGCATTTAAAAAAAGAAAAAAAAAATAGTTATTAACAAGATATTTCACCAAGACAATGACAAATATCAAAGTCCGTAAAAGTTTGGATAACTTCAGATATAAACTTATGATGGTGTTCTCACCAAGACAAGTACAAATATCACATTTTGTAAAAGTGTGGATAATTTCAGATATAAATGTACAATGGTGCCCTCATCCAGCTTTTCACCAACCAGAGACATGAAACCCCATGTCGTATCTCTATTCTCATTTGCATTGGCATGCACAAGAAAAAAACTGGGAAAGGCCCATTGCAAGCACACACAGAAACGAAAGGTAAGATTAAATACTACAGCAAGAAATGAGGATGTACCCTGTTTCCAGTATATTTAGTTGTTTAATTCAGTTCTTCACTTGTTTCGGTCTAGGAGGAGAGATACATGACTCTTGGAAAATCTTCTGTCAAGTTAGACTAACAGATCAGCTCTTTCTTTCAACACTTCCTTCCACCAATTCTTCCTTTTTTCAATATCAGGACATGTGGCTGGCAACATGAATGGTGAACATCATTACTACTCAAGAGATAGTCTGTCTCTCTGCCAAGGGTGGACCGGAACTCTTCCTCAATACCAAGTGTAGCTGTTAGTATGTAACTGGAGATCCCTGAGGTCTGGTTTAGTTGTCGCTTGTTCTCAAAGGCGTTCATTTATTTATTCTATTGTTCACTTTTAGTAAAGTGGGTGCCACTTAAAAGACCTAACTTCACAGACTTTATTTGCTGGCCATAAAACAGAAAACACTTGTGATCAAGATAAAAATCACATTATCCACATCGACATGAATGTCCCCAATCATAGTGTCACACAGAGAGCATTAAAAAATAAATATATTCCTGAACACAATAAAGCTAGGTTTTCATGTAGGACCTTATTTGTAGTCTAATATAAAACTGGCCATAACTTTGATTTTATAAATGCCAATTTAATTAGAAGAGAACATAATTCTTTATACAGGAAATAACCATCCATAAACACACATCAAACACACTTTATTATATCTCCAACCTTTATAAAATCCATACTTAACCTTTACCATGCTAGAGGCAAAACTTTTTGCTGTAGAATTCTCTCCTTTTGCACGTTGGAGGTGCATTCTGTCAACCAGAGACGGTTGCTATAAATAAACACTTGTCAACTGCTATTTCCGGTATTCTAAGCTAGAAACGTCTACTACTGCTTTGGAACGAGGCTAAACTTCTATTTTCTGATGCCATTTTGAATTCTTCTACAGTGTAGACACACACTCATATATACATTATAATCCCACACAGATAAAAAAGAATAATGACACACCTACACACATAAAATATACACATGAAGGCTACATAACATGACTGACATGTTTGATAAACCAATAAAAAAAAAAACAAACAAAATTAAAAATACCAGAAATTTATTTTTCTCCTCCACATTTCATTCTCTGATGAAGCTTTAATAAAAGCGAAACATGCTAGATTTATAAATGTTTCCTATTTGTTCTTTATCCTAACATTCTGTTGGAGTCCAATCTTCATTTGTTCTCAATTCAGTCTAATATAAGCAAATTTGATTTCAAATATTCAATGGGGGGGAGTTAAAAAAAAAAAAAAAAAATGCATCTACTCACCAGTTTAATGCAATATATCCGTGACTGGTCCACAGTGGAATATGCCAACAGTTTAGCATTGTTGGAAATCGTTGAACAAACAATGGCTTTGTTGTTTTTGCTTGCAATTTGAATCTGTTTGACAGGATGAGAATCCAGAGGAAGGATTTCTTTCTCAGTTCCTAGAGAAAAGAAAAGTAAATACAACCTTATATAATGACCCAGTGGATGAAAGTAAGTAATCCAGTGACTTCACCCAAAGAGTTGTGAGTTCAATACCAGGCCACAGCAGAGATGAAAAAAAAAATTGGAGAATTGAGTTATAAAGGGAAATAACTGAAATATATCTATCTAGATATCTAGATAAGGCATGGCATGTGGAACTAGAACAATCTACCCAGTTGACGAAATAAAGGGTCTGGTTTCAAAATGCAGCATATATCACCTGAAGAAAGCTGAAGCATACAACAGCCAGAATGTCAAGAATATGACAAGGAGTCCAAACAATGTAAATACCTTATATAATTGTATTGCACGACATCCAAAAGACCATGGATCTGCACACAAAAAGTTATACCTCAACTGCAGATAGCAGTGCAGCATCTGTTATTTTGATCTGCTATCCATTACACCACCTACACATCCTGTCATGACCAATTGTTGCCCATACAGGCCTGGTTCAAACTGTTGACCACAACATTATTATGCATGTGTGTGTGTGCATGTGTGTGTGTGTGTGTGTTTATGTGTGTGTAACATTCAGATATAAATATATTTGTAAAGACAATATAAATAAATCATTTAGCATCCCCCATAGCTTACCTTTCCTTACATAGCTAGCTTTAATATTTTAGAGGATTCTTAACATTTATCACTCTGAATGTGACTTCATTTGCTGTACGAAAAGTTTATCCTAACACTGAAGGTGACCCCCATCCCTGAACAATAGTGTGTTTGAATTTTAGGAATTGTGCTGTCACATCCTTCTATGACAACAGAAAACAACTTTGAGTGAAATTAACAATAAGAATACTGCAACTGAGAGGCCATGAAAAAGAATGCAGTAGAAAGGAAAATAATATTAATAAAGGTTAAATTTAAAAATTGAAAAACTTAATATTTTTTGTGCACTTCTGTGTATATGTTACAAAATAACATTTCAACATTAACCTTGATAATGCTGCTATGGGCGCAAAATGCATTGGTAAAGAATATTTTTCCCTTTTGTCTTTTTTTGTGAAAAGGATAATTTTATAAAGAGTGGGCTCGTACCAATGTTAATGCATTGCTGTTCAACTGAATTAAATTAAGCTCTCTGGGCCACCGACGTATTTCACATAAAAAAAACATTAAAATTTCCCTTCCTCTCTGCTGTGCGACAAGAGCATCTGACTGATACCAAATCGGTTGGGTTCCGATCCCAGCTTGAACAATCGTCTAGCCACACTGAAGAGCTGTGATACAGTGAAACAATCTGTCTATGGATGACTATATATATATATATATATATATATATATATATATATATATGGATGACTCTATATATATATATATATATATATATATATATATATATATATATATATATATATATATATATATATATATATATACCTGAGTGGTGTAATGGTTAGCGATTGGCTCGCTGGAACAATTACGATTGAGTAGTGAGTTCGATCCTCACTGGGTGCCCCCTAATTTCGGCCCTGTTTACATCTAAGCTACGCTTGGAAATCACTATTATATATATATATATATATATATAAATCACAATAAAAGCTGGAACTGATATTGACAAGAGGTACAAAACAAAACACTATCAGAAAACGTAGCCAGACATGAATAATGAGGAGAAGAAGGATTTTTTAATCATTTCATCACAAGCAAGGCAATAAGACCACTAAGACGCAAGGGATTACTGCGTTCAAAAGAATATGAGAAAAACATTAAAAAGAGAGAGTAATAAAAGGGCAGGAATTAAGACAGAAGATAATGATTGACATTGCATTTAAATTCAAACTTACCAACTCTTTCTACAGAACTATGTCCCAATTTCCACACTTCAAGGTAAGTTGGGTATTGTAAGAGCAGAACATTTGCATCCTTGGCCGTGTGTACAAGTTGTTTCTGAAAAGGAAAAGAAACAAATTAAAAAGACTTAATAGAAAGAAGACAAACCAATAAGGAACCATTAATATAAATTCTTTAATGTGTGATACTGTAGACACTCACATAGAAAGGTGTGATGATATTCATGGCAAATTTGTGACAAGTTTTGTGACAATGTTCTCTGATCATTCATCATTCACTGCACTGGTGATGACATCCGAGGTTGATTATATTTGTATATACACCCAACTTACTATGCACACAGGTTTTTCTTCTTGGCCATGATCACTTTCAACAAATAATGACAGCAAATGTTTTTAAAGATACTAGTTGGAAGTTTACAACAATACAATTTCTAACTTTGCCAGCTATCTTTTCCATCTCTGATCTCCCCATCTTAGCTGGTCATTCTTCACATTGCTCTGGGCTTGGTGACTCCTGATTCCTCACTGCTTGTCCTTCTGTCACTGGCCACTGGACAACTACAAACTCCTCTGGTCACATAGCTTCTTCTTACACAGCTGGACGCCTTTCTTCTCCCTTACTTCATGCCTCTCTCTGCTTATATGGATAATCGCTGGGGTCCCAACCCCTTATCCATTCACTTGTGTTCCGGAAGTTTTGAGACCACCCCAAAGCCACATGGGTGGTCAACTCTTCAAAAGACTACTTTTATAACTATCTAAAATCATTGATAAAATTTTATGTTTGCTCATTCAAAGGCAGACTGGAGACATGAATCCGGAAAACCTGGCAATTAAGTTGCTTCAAAGATGGACTGGAGAAGAAATTCCTATGAAACTCAGATGGCTGTGGACTTAAAAGAAAGGAATTTATCTCCTTATCTTCTAAACGTGTGTGAGGAGAAATATTGTTACAAAGGGAAGAGCTGGATTTTATCTCGATCTCAAGTGTTTCTGTTTGATAGACCAACGGTTGGTTCCTTTTGAAGTTTGGCCTTCTAAGTGGCATCTACTGTAACTGAAGGAGAATGGGAAGTAAAGGGGATTTTTGAAGATCAAGTGGCAACAAAACCGGAAATAGGGTATATCCAAGTGTTGGTCAATATTAACAGTCATGTTTGGGATTGGAGAGAGTTCTGGTCCACCCTTGGCATGAGATGGATGTATCTTTCACACAGCTCCAAAGCTTCCAATTCATATTGCCAGCTGCCATGTCAGGATGAGTAGAAGAGCTGACATAGCAGAAGTTCTTCCAAGTATCACCTACCTACCCACCCAGATGAGCAGTCAAAGCCCTGAATAAAATATATATTTATAATATTAAACATGTGTGAGGAAAAATATTGTTACAAAGGGAAGTGATGGATTTTATCTATCTCAAGTGTTTCTGTTTGATGGGCCAGTATCCATTGTTACCAAAGGGGAATGGGAAGTAAAGGGGATTTTTGGAGATCAAGTGGCAACAAAACCAGAAATAGGGTATATCCGAGTGTTGGTCAATATTAACAGTCATGTTTGGGATTGGAGAGAGTTCCGGCCCACCCTTGGCATGAGATGGATGTATCTTTCACACAGCTCCAAAGCTTCCAATTCATATTGCCAGCTGCCATGTCAGGATGAGTAGAAGAGCTGACATAGCAGAAGTTCTTCCAACTATCACTTAACTACCCACCTGGATGAGCAGTCAAATCCCTGAATAAAACATATATATAATATTAAATATGTGTGAGCAGAAATATTGTTACAAAGGGAAGAGATGGATTTTATATCGATCTCAAGTGTTTCTGTTTAATAGGCCAGCCGATGCATCCATGTTGTTAATTGATCGATTCATTTCCTACGGCTTACCAACCATGTTAGATTTATAAACATTTTCTATCTGTTCTTTATCCTATCGTTCTGTCAGATTCCAATCTATACTTGCTCACAACTCAATCTAATATAAGCTAATTCAATGTCAAATATATTTCAGGCTATTTAAAGCCAGAAAATATTTTTAGATTGTAATTTAATGATACAAGTCTTATTAACCCATAGCTGGGGGGTAGAAGAGGGGGAATCATACGTTTCTCAAGGGTATTTGTGCATAAGTGAACATAACAAACCCAATTGGAATTAAGAAGACAAAAGATGATGATTGACATGGCATTTAAACTTTTAAAGATCAAAGTTGACTGGAAAGCAAGAATCCAGAAGAGAATTCCACAAGAGAGAAGTGCAAGAGAAGAAACTCTCAGCATAGAACTTAGGGTAACATCTGATAATTTCAACTGTAAAATGTTACTTACATGTGGCAGTCCACTAATTTTCATAAACCTTGTTGGGGACGTCACAACTGTAAGGTTCGTATCCATACCTGGAACAGAAATCAAAAACCAATCAAAACAGCTGCATATATTTCCAGTCAATGTTTAAATACCCACAAACAATAAAAAAAAAATAGTGTAATTTATCTGCTTATTATTAATTTTTGTTTTTAACCTACCATAAATAGTTGTGTATATAAGCTGAGCTGAATATATCCCCACTATTTTATGTTTGAGAGTTGGATAAAAATCCAAAAGTCCAAGTCACCGGCACTTTCTTTTTACCTGCTTAGTTAATTCTTATTACTTAAGCATTATACTGAATGGCTAAAAGGTTGTTCAGTTTAGTAAGTAAATTTTCTACTTAATAACCAAACAAACCTTTAAATCTTAAGTATTTATGGACATCAGGTAACTGTTTACTTTTTTGATTTACACTGTCATAAAACCATAGCCCCAATAAAATCATTTACAACCCATTTGACATTTTTTGTTTCCTAAGCTTGAATTGGGACCTATTTTGACACACAAAAGGTCAGTTTGGGAACTGTTGCATAAGCCTAGTATTTTGACCCACTTTATATGAAGAAAAAAAAAAAAAAAAAGAAAAGAAAAAACAAAAACAAGAATAAATTATGACGTACTTCCAAGAACCAGCTGATTCCCAACAAATAAAGCGTCTCGGATATCATGGAAGTGGAAATGCAGAACACTTGACCTTGTCCACATGTCATGTGATTTTCCCGAGACAATTCCTCCATGTTTGCCTTTGGCCCGTTTGTGGTGGGGTGCAGAATCTGAATTCATGTTTGTAATATATACAATCGAGGCATCCACACCACTGCCGACGACAAGGTTTTCATCCTAAAAACATAAAAAATACATTTCATAAACATCTTTCACAAAAAAACAACAAATAATTTTTCTACATTAATATTTAAAACTGCTGAAATTCATCCCATACAAATCCTGGGCTCATCACTAGAATAAGACTCTTTTATTATGTCTTCATTATAATTTTATTATGTATCACTGTAAACGTTATATTTTAGTAGATGTTCCATTTATTTGTTAAACAGTATATTTATTTATTTATTATCATTGAGAAATTTTATTAAAGAAAAAATTTATGCTCTCTGGCAGGATTTGAATCTGCATCCCACTGAACTGAAGAAGCTATTGTTAAATACAATATGCTCTGACCAAATCAGCTACAAAGAACGAATTCATCAGGCAAGGCCCAAATTGTAAATTTAAGTGAAACTTCTCTTGTCATTTTGTATGTCCTGCTTTCATTCTAATGTTGATTTAATCAAATTTAAAAAACAAAAAACGTATGATCAAACTAAGCAACTATTTTAACTCAGTGAAAAATTATTATTCAGGTTTCTTTTCTTCAGGAATAAAAAATGCATCTTCAGCACCAAATTAGCAGAGTTAAAGAGAAAATCTTGAATAGTTCCAGAAAAAGAAAAACTTACCCTGTTAACAGCCAAACAAAGAACATCTGCTTTATGAGTCCAGATGCACTGAAAGAATGAAACACAATACTTTATATTAGAAAAGAAAAAAACAATTACTTTATTACAAGTTACTTTACATATATATATATATATATATATATATATATATATTATATATAAATATAAATATAAAATTTGATGTTATATATATATATATATATATGATTAATATAAATATAAAATTTGATGTTATATATATATATATATATATATATATGATTAATATAAATATAAAATTTGATGTTATATATATATATATATATATATATATATATATATATGATATAAATATAAAATTTGATGTTATATATATATATATATATATATATATGATTAATATAAATATATTTGATGTTATATATATATATATATATATATGATTAATATAAATATAAAATTTGATGTTATATATATATATATATATATATATATATGATTAATATAAATATAAAAATTTGATGTTATATATATATATATGATTATATAAATATAAAATTTGATGTTATATATATATATATATATATATATATATATATATATATATATGATTAATATAAATATAAAATTTGATGTTATATATATATATAATATAATCAATCAGCTAAGGACAAATTTTATATTAATCATATATATAAGAAAAAAAAAAGCCTGTCCATGAATAAAAAAAACAAACTTCCTAGATGCATCATCTGACAAAGATCTTTATTATCACTTCCTTATATTTGAATGCACTTTCCATACACATAGGTTTGGCTCTCATTCTAGCCTGAAGACACCTACAATAAAGAGGTGAAATGTGTCGTCTGAAAATTGGTCACATTTTTTCTCCACTTTTTTGGGATACTGTTCTAAATCCTAACACTGAATCTCAAGTTCCAAAGATTCTTTATCTGAAAACCAGACACTCTTAACAAATGACCCAAAACTTAACATTCAATGCTTCCTAAATTTGACATACAATTAGCTGACTAGTGCAAAATAAAAACGTCTTCATTTATGTCAACAGATTACCATTTTTATCTAAGGAACCATTAATCATGTCAATCCCAGGCTAGGCAAGCAGAGAAGAATTGAGTGAATTTTAGTTATAGATTTACTTGATTCTTCAGAATTAAACCCACATTCAATCCTTTCTAGTTCCATTTCCACCATTTACTTATGGTGTTTGAATTCATCAAGTGCCATATGCAATACACGCTTGGGCAGTCATGTCTCTTTTGATCTATAACTGACGAGACCGAAGATTTCCTGCAATAGACTGCCATTTCTTTCTGTGATAGACTGGTTGCTTATCAAGGCTATAGGACTTAGTCTGTCTAGTTATTCAATCCATAGTTCAGTGGGGGGAAGAGATGCCTTTCCAAAGTGAAAGTAACAAACCTGACTGGAATTCGAACTCAACTCTCCGATTTCTCATTCTGAGCCAATATTCAATTAATATTCTTAATTAGTTCTTTTCTGGATTGATCTCTGCTTGATGTAACTTTTCTTCATGATTTTCCTCATCTGCTTTAACTGATTCATTTTAATACTACAAGTCTCCTAAAGAGTGTTTTTAGGCACAAATGGAGTCCCTTACCCAGTTAGGCTTCACATGTGCTTAGCATTATGAAATATTCCAAGAGAATTGAAATTAGAAGAATAAAGAGTAAATCCCATTAAAAGATATCAAAAGCAAATAACTGACCTGTAATTCAGTTCCAAATTTGCTATCCCAAAACGTGATGCGGCCATGAGAATCACCACTCACAACAGTCATATCCCTATAAAGATACAACAAAAAGGAAGATTAAAATAACAAAAAATTCATTAACAGAAGAAGAAATGCATGGGATGAATGACATGACATGACTATTTGCATCTTAGTGGTTTTATTGCCTTGGTTGGGGTGAAATGATTCATAAAAAGAAAAAAAAAGGATGGTATTTAAATATATTTAAAAGTATATGACTGGAGTTGCAAGTGGTTTATGGCATAGACAATAAAACTGGTAAACCAAGGTGGGATAGTCTGCAATCATTTTGCAATAATGCCCTTGAAAAAAGCATGAATAGATTTCTGCCCCAGGTCTGGGTGAATAGTAAAACAGTTGGAGCCTTTTAGACTTTAAGGTAATTCAATCATAAGTCAGGGATCGTTCCATGTTGATACTAACATATAATCAAATACAATTGGTCACCACTTGCTTGGTGGGAAGATAATAACTATCAAGTAACTACTTTTCCCTCTTTCTCATTTCTAAAGAAAAAAAGGAAGAGTGAGAGAAAGGAATCCAGAGAGAGAGAGAGAGCGATAGAAAAGGAACCAAGAAAAAGAGAGAGAGAGAGAGAGAGAAAAAAAAGGAACAAAGAGAGAGAGAGAGGAAAAAGGAACGGAGAAAGAGAGAGGAGACACAGAAAGAAAGAGGGGACCAAGAGAGAGAGAGAGAGAGAGAGAGTGGACAGAGAGAGAGACAAAAAAAATGAACCCAGAGCAAGAGAGAGGGAACCCATAGAAAGAGAAAAAAAGGAACACAGAGAGTGAGAGAGACAAGGAAAAGGAACCGAGAGAGAAAGAGGGGACCCAAAGAGAGAGAAAAAAACAGAGAGAGAGAGAGAAAAAAACAGAGAGAGAGAGAGAGAAAAGGAACCCAGAGAGAGAAAAAAAGGAACCTATAGAGAGAGAAAAAGAACAGTGAGAGAAAAAAAAAGGGACCCAGAGAGAGAGGGAGGAAAAAAAATGAACCCAGAGAGAGAAAAAAGAGGAGAGAGGGAGGAAAAAGGAACCCAGAGAGAGAGAGAGGGAAAAAAAGTGAACCCAGAGAGAGAGAGGGAGGGAAAAAGAACCCAGAGAGAGAAAGGAAAAAAAATGAACCCAGAGAGAGAGAGAGAGAGGGAGGAAAAAATGAACCCAGAGAGAGAGGGAGGGAAAAAATGAACCCAGAGAGAGAGGGAGGAAAAAAATGAACCCAGAGAGAGAGGAGGAAAAAATGAACCCAGAGAAAGGGAGGAAAAAATGAACCCAGAGAGAGAGGGAGGAAAAAAAATGAACCCAGAGAGAGAGGGAGGAAAAAAATGAACCCAGAGAGGGGAGGAAAAAAAAATGAACCCAGAGAGGGAGGAAAAAATGAACCCAGAGAGGGAGGAAAAAATGAACCCAGAGAGGAGAGAGGGGAAAAAAAAATGAACCCAGAGAGAGAGAGAGGGGAGGAAAAAATGAACCCAGAGAGAGAGGGAGGAAAAATGAACCCAGAGAGAGGGGAAAAAAATGAACCCAGAGAGAGAGGGAGAGGAAAAAAATGAACCCAGAGAGAGAGGGAGGAAAAAAATGAACCCAGAGAGAGAGGGAGGAAAAAAATGAACCCAGAGAGAGAGGGAGGAAAAAAATGAACCCAGAGAGAGAGAGAGGGAGGAAAAAAAAGAACCCAGAGTGTAAATTAAAGAGAAAAAAAAATAAATGGAGAAAAATAAAGAATAAAAGAAACCAGAAAGCAAGAGAAATGAAACAAAAGGCAAAAAAAGCAAATGTCCAATGATAAACTTACATTAATATTTTAATGCACCATACATAAACATCCCGTGTTTTATTCCTTTTCAATGTGAACCGTTCAATAGCAATGCCTGAATTCACACTCCACACTCGAATATTATTGACACCACCCGTAACAATCACATCTTCAGAGACATGCCAATCAAGACAAAGGATCCGACCTAATAGAAAAAGAAAAAGAAAAATATTATCAAAAAGAACTACATTACATATTTATATATCAATAAGTTTACATTGTTCTGCATTTGTTTGTTTATATTCAAACCTTCCTGAATATTAAACAAACAAAAAGTATTCTCAAAGGTCAATAACGTTTGGATGAGTAATTCTGCCATCTCTATATAGTGGACTCTTCCAGTGGTCTAAAATGTGTCACAAAAAATATATAGTTGGATTTCATTATCTGTGGTAAAGAGATTCCAAAAGCACCCACAAGGACTGAAATCTGGATAGCAGCAAGCCATATATAAAAATATTTTCCCCTGAAAATGGCACACAATGTTTTAAAAACATATTTCAAACATAAATATCTTTATTCTTTTTAAAATTTTATTTTTAAAGGAAAAAAACAAAGTTTCCTTTTGGGTTCAGTTTGCTTTCGATAACATTTTTCCCCCTCTGAAATCCCCCCTACAATGTACATTTGGTTTTATTTGTTTGGTTTGTTTTTCCATGGACAGTCTTTCTGAATCTGTAGGTTTCCACATCTGAAACAAGGATATTCCTTTTTTTGCATTTTTCCTTAGCTTTTAGCACATTCTTTATTGTAAAGTTTTTCAGCATCATGCTTCAGACTTAGCATTTTTTGGCAATCGTCCACTATTTCCCGTAGTGTTACATTATTATTGTGTTCAATCTTTGCTAAAATTTTCATTTGTACTTCAGCATCATTTTCTGCTGTTAGACCTTGCATGAAAATTAATCCCTTGAACATATCTGAAGTCATTTCCTTTAGTTTAAATTGTTCACATTTTCTATTGATGATACCCACATACATGACAAAATTTTCAATCTCTTTTTTGGTTAAATTCATGCACCTCTAACAAGCATGGAACAGAGAGCAGTTGTCACTAAAAGTTTTCATCAGAATGTGTACTGTGTCTTTTTTTTTGTTGGTGAGACAGAAAAGTACTAGAAAGAGAAAAAAAAAAATATCAAACAATTATGTCCTGACCCCAAAAAGAAAAGGTATTGAGTAAAATTTCATGGGAAAGTTAGCTCAGGGGGAGGTGTTGTAATGGAATGTCCCACACTCCCTACTGCCTAATGTGGACTGACTATATCAGTAGCTATATAGAGCGAATACAGGATATGCCCGGGGGCCTGCTGCAGGAATTACTAGCCTGTCACCCGATTCCCTTTCTCTCAATAGTGTATTCTCTTTTTCAATAAGCCTCTTTCTTTCATCTACGTGCGTGTTGCTGTTCCTTCATTTGAGTACCACCTTTGTTTGTTTGTTTGTAACCTCTTTAAGGATACAATAGTCTTCAAACCCAATGTCACCTGGTTTTCTGGGCACTCTATTGGAGCTATTTTTCTTAACAAAAAACAGTTTTTTTATATTCTTCCCAGCCACTCCATTCCTGACTAAATATTTCTTTATGTCTGCAAAAATACGCAGTAAAAGTCAGTTTGTCACCAGGATTGCATATGAATTTTGATACAGTGTTTTGCACTATGTCTGGAATAAAAGACGTTGAAGCATATTTCTTCTAAACCATTTCCAACAACTCTTGTTGTTTTTGCAACTGTAGCAACTGCTGGATATGTTGTTCTTGTTGCTTCTGTTGTTGTTGAATTTCAACTATTGAAGCCAAAATTTTTTCCATATCTGCAATGGTTGAAATTCTTGCAATTCCTGTTGCACTCGTATGAGTTTTGAAAATCTGGTCACCCACTATTATAATGTGGTGCTCGTTATACCATGCTTGAGTTCAAGTTCCTCAACAACTATTATAACTCCAGTTATAATGTTTCAATTTTTCTCCTGCACTTGTGTTCAAGTATCCTCATTGCCAACTCCAGTTATAAAAATTTTTTACAAAAGCAATTAAGAGGTGGTTCCACATTCCTCAAAACCTCCAATCTTCCAATCAGAGGCCTTACTGCCAGATGTAGTTTATCGTCATACCCAGGGCAAAATCAGTGAAAGTATAAAAAAAATAAAACTACAAACCTTCTTGTTTGCTGAATGCCTTCAAATACTCCAGGTCATTATTTTCAATATTAAACAGAACAACAGCACCTCCATCAGTTCCAACCTAAAAACAAAAATTAAAAAAAAAACATGAAGAAATTATCAAATACAAGCAATCTGTGATCGTAGTATGTTTAAGCTATCTCTGGTAGCACTTAACATCACAGGTAGGTATCAGGTTACCTTGCTAGAAATAAGTGTTTCTCTCTCATGATCCAGCATGGATACAATGGTTCAATATTTATTGCATTGTAGCAAGGATGAAACAATGATTGTAACAAAGATAAGGACATTAGCCTGATTGCAAATAATGTTAACTCCTCATCACAGAAATTCAAACAGAAATGACATGATCTCAAAGTCTCCACCTGTTCACCATTCCTATCAACATATTCTTGGAATATACCAATTTGTACTTTATATTTTAAAATTAAAATTTAGATATAGGGAAAAATTGAAAATGTCAGTTTAAACTAGTGGTTCCCAAGTAGTGTGGCACACCTCAGAGGATAGCAGGAGAGGTGGAATGATTGAAACACACTCAAAGATTTAGAAACAGTTTCAAAAAATTCATATGCCAAAAATAAATATGACTTCAAAATGTTATCATGGATTACTTGTAAATGCACGCATGTGACCCAGTATAAATAGTTATAAATAATTACTGACTGATTTTATCATTGTGATATTTTTGTATCATACCAAGTATTAAAAATACAGTAACTAAGGTCTGCAAATTTGAAGAATGAGTTATCAATGATAATGTTCCGTCTTCAAATCCGTGGTTATCACCCTTCAAAACCTCTCTTTCTGGACCTTCTTTGCTGTGGGGGTGCTTACACCTTTTCATCAGTACTTTCCTTTGATGAGGCACAAGCAAATTTCGAAATTCCAAAAATGCGGCACAGAGAAAAAAAAAGTTTGGGAGCCACTGGTTTAAACTGTCATCTTTTCTTTTTTTTCCCCATATATTGTTACTGTTTTCATGATTTCAGATGAAAATCAGGAATTTTTCACTTTCTAAAATTGAAGGGGGGTGGCAGTCAGTTTAAACTGACACCAGGACAATATAGCTTTAAAAAAAAAAAAGAAACAAAGCAGTTTCAAAATTTAGAAAAAAAATAAATATAAATTTTACAGGTGTGGCAACTAGAAATAATTATTTTTACATAATTTTTTTTTTTTTTTTTTGCATGCTACCATAGAATAAGCACTCTAGATCACTAAGATAATTTTTTTAAAACTTTATAGAATAGGAATATGCATTGTAAATCTCAGAAATTCAGACAGAAACGATATATGATTTTAAACAGTCTCCCCCATGTTCACCATTCCTGTCAATACATTCGTGAAATCTACCACAAGTAACTTAAAAGAAATAAAAAATTAAATTTTTTTTATCAAAATTAACACCTCTACGGGAGTATTTTTATTAAAATAGGAAGTCCCACAGAAGTGTTTAAAAAAAAATCTTCTATAGACATTTTTTTTTTAAATCACCATTTACATATATATATATATATACAGGCATGCCTCAATTAATGCATTTTCGATTAGTGCACTAAAAATTTTATATACCAAAATTTGTTTAGTGCATTCATAATACTCGATTAGTACAATAAAACATTCTTCAGTTTAACCATAGTAATTGTAAAGTGATTTTTTATAGTTACCAATGTACAGATTAGCTGCACTAATCAAAGGATTCCTGTATATACATATGATAGATATATTAAATTGAAATGACTTATTGCTACAGTCAGATAGTTTACCGAACCGTCACAAAACTACAATAGATGCCTGAAATGAAAAGTCTAACAACCGAAGAAATTCCTGTTGTGAGCAAAAAACTAAAGTAAAAAAAAAGATATTTGTTTGTGTACATCTCCAGCTATTTGTCACATTGCAACCCAAAAGGAGAAGGCTTTACAATTTAATACACTTTGTGCTTGCAAAATCAACACAACTATTTCTTAATACTAAACGTTCACCCAATACAAGCCCTAGGAACCTCTCAAGGTTGACGGTTACTGAATGAGGAGTGTGATATGAATTGAGGAAGTGAAAATAATGAGGATATGAAGGATAGATAGCAACTAATCCTAGATTTGAAGAGGTTAAAATTTTAGTGTTTGTGGAAGCATCCACACAGGAGTCCGTCAGTAACTGTTCTTAGACAGTAGCTGCCAGAGTGGAAGATCCTTAACAATGGAAGAAAATAAGAGTGACCCAACCCTGCAGATTATAGCAAGGTGGTTCTTGACTGTAAAGAACTGGACTGATGGCTTTAAAATCATACTATGTTGCCTCCACTGTTGATTATTGCAGGGAGAGGTAATGATCAATACATATATATAGTTGTAAGGGAGCCATTTTCTCAGGAACTACATGAGGTAGGGTCAGGGCTAGTCTCTGATGTCTGTGGAAGTTAGTAATACATGTCTTCTTTCATATCTACATGTAGGGAAACACTTAAAGAATGAAAGAAAAGAAAGAAAAGAAAAGAAAGAAAAGAAAAGAAAGAAAAGAAAAGAAAAGAAAGAAAGAAAAGAAAGAAAGAAAAGAAAAGAATGAAAGAAAAGAAAAGAAAGAAAGAAAAGAAAGAAAGAAAGAAAGAAAGAAGAAAGAAAGAAAGAAAGAAAGAAAGAAAGAAAGAAAGAAAAGAAAGAAAGAAAAGAATGAAAGGCCCTCTGCCATACAGTATCAAAGTGAAATAATGTTAAAAAAATTTCCAACAGTTCACTGGATAAAGCCCACATACATACATACAAACATACATACACAAAATATTGAAATAAAACTGAAATATTTGTTACTGCTAGCTCAGAATGAGAAATTAGAAAGCAGTGTTCAAATATGAGTTGAGTTCGCGACATTTACTTACATGCAAATACCCTTGGGTTTCCAGTTCCATCTAAAGTCTACTTCAACTCTATACTTCTAATGTCCCCATCTAAAACTCAAAACTTTCATTTACTATTTATTTATATTTGCCCCCACCCCTCAATAAGAGTAGATAGGTTTGCCTATTGTCCAGTCCAGACTCCACCCTGATTTTTTGAACAGGAGTAGAGGTTTATCCCATGTTTCCTGTTCTGGATTGGGTTTCTGATTCCCTCTTAAAGTCTTTTCCTTCCTGTTCACTTCCAGTGGTCCCTTACATTTTGTTGACATTATCATCTTGCTTGGGGTGGTGCTCCTTACTCGGTAAACCTCTAGGGCCTTGTACAGGGTGAACATCATTGTAAAAAAGGTATTAATCCATCTCTTCACTCCCCAATCAACTATAGGTTAATTAGTAGAACTTTTATCTGGAAAAATTATTATCTCCCCCCAAAAAATGATTAAAGCAATATTCACCCAAAAAAAAAAAAAAAAAAAAAATAAATTCTTACTGCTAAGCGTGTGTTTGAGGAATTCTTCACCATACTCCAAATTGAACCAGCATTGCAATGAGCTTTGGCCTGAAAAAGAAAAAAATATATATCAAAAAAATAATCTTATTATAAGTAAAAGTCAATGTTACTTTTAGTTGTCGCTTGGTAAGTTGTCATGATAAAAGAAAGATGTATAAATTTATGTGAACCCTGTTCCAATTCAAACCTCCAATTTGGAAGCAAGCAGGCAAACATCGTACCAACCTTCTGTAAGTAAAATTGGCAATGGAATACCAAACAAGTTTTTTTTTTTTTTTTTGGAGGAGGGGTCTGCTTTAATTCTAATTTCAAATAATATTAAAATGCTAACCACATTTGAAAGAACAAAAACTAGATTTAACAACCACTGAATTTTTAGTACATTTCAAGAAAAGATCTATGAATAAGATTTTTTTTTGGTATAAACTTCAAGTGTAAGTTCTAATTCAAAATTGTCCTTTCTTCTCACTTAAGGTCTTCTATTCTTTTTCACTCCCAGTAACACATTGCATTTTAGTGGCATTATCACCTTGCTTGGGGAGAAATGATAAAAAAAATGTTTAATCACAATTTAACTTCTAGTGTTAGTTTAAACTGACACTTTTTCTTTTCATTTATTGTGACCATTTTGCTTAAAGTTCACATTTTCTTCATTTCAGATGAAAACCTGAAAATTTTTTCAACAGATTTCAATGAAATCTTTTATGTTCCAAAATTACAGAAGAAAAGTGTTTAAACTAACACCAGAAGGATATAGATATACAAATAAGTGCTTGTAACCAGAAATCTTTTTTTTTTTCAAAATTTTATCTCACTATAGATTAAGACCTCCAGATCATGGATTTCTTTTTGATTTTATAAAAGTTAATAGAGGGATCCATTTTGCTATGTAAATTCATAGTAAATTGATGCTCCTATAGAAGACAAAACTAAATATACCACATGATATGTCCCAGGAAGGGATATATTTGTTTGCAGTAGCAAAGTGGTTTTGGATTACTGTATCCAAGTAGGACAAACTAGCAGGTAACCGTAATGGACTGGTTCTCATCGTAGAGGTAGGCAATAGGCGAAGACTATAGGCATAGCCAATAGGCATTATCTTGTACCTCCACATCAGTCTGTATTTATGGCTGACACCAGCCAATCATATTACTGTGAGGGGGAACCCAGGTGTATGCATATTCATTACATCACCACATAATTTCTTAAAATGTAAAGAAATAATTTTTTTTAAATTTCTAATGTGGATTGCTTAATCTATAGTAATATAGGAAAAAAAGAACTCTAGAAAGAAATCAAATCATATGAACAATGTTAATTAAAAACATTTTTAGTTTTTACATTTTAAGAAATTACATCATATGAACATTGTTCATATGATGTAATTTCTTAAAATGTAAAAACTAAAAATGCTTTTAATTTGTAATCTACAGTTCTTTTTCTGGCTTCTAATGGAGGTGATCATTTTACAATGAATTTAAATAGCAAATTAGATCCCTCCCCCTTTTTATACAATTTAACTTTTTGATATTTGTGACCTAGTGTGAGCAATCTATAGTAATATAAAAAAAAATATATTTCTGTTCAAAATGTCAATTGTACAAATCCTTAATTTTTTTTTTTACTTTCTTCAAAAACAACCTTTAGTGTTTATTTTTTGTCAATTTAAGACCAACTGACCTGACAGAAATTCAAATATATCTGAATCATTTCGAGAATAATGACAAGTAATCAGAATAATTGAAAAAAAAAAAAAAAAAAAAAAAGAACTTAAAAATTAGTAAGGTCCCTTGGCAATGGCTGGCATTATGGTTCATTAAAACATTTCATTGGATAACCTGCTTCCTTCATAATCCCTTTTGAAACAACAAAGAAAATTTAAAGAAAGAGGAAAAAAGATTATACACTTATTCTGTCTGTTTACATATTTACACCCCTCTACTTTGGATCAGAGTGTAGTATCTGCATGATGGTCTGAATTGGAACCAGCTATGCTTTAACTCCATAAAAAATATTAAGGAGGGAAGAAATTAGGAAAAGTGAGGGAGTGAAGGGGACTTTTTTTTTCTTCTTTTTTTTTGTTAATAGCTTTTTGTGGAGATGGAAATGGGTAACCTGGAAGACACAACCTTGCTGTTGTTACTGTTGTGGAGGTTAATTTCTTCCTTACCTCAGCTAACATAAACCCAAGCATCAAAGGAGGAGGAGTAAATAAATGTATAATTTATTTACATATACACATAGACTGATAATTTCTATCTGTTGCTAAGGCAACAAAGAGAGGGAATGATGAAATTAAAAGTGAAATGGACATTCATTAGTGGTGTCTCTCTTTCTCAGCACGTCGGTGTAGACATCAAATGCTGGTCTCTGTCAGATCTGTTTGAATTTGGGAATATATAGGTTTTAGTTGGCTCGAAATTAAGGTTTTGTTTTTTTTGAGCAGGAGTGACTGACTGGCCATAATAAATTATTAATTTTGTTTTGGTTAAAACGGATATACCAGGGAGTTCATGCATAGAAAATGTATTTATGCAGTCAACATCCAGTTTGTATCAATGATGTAAAAGGCATGACAAGCTTTACACCTCTACCTACTTTTTAATATTTTACACCTTATCCCTTGATATCCTGCCAGCAAAATGGAAATGGGTAAACCAAACAACCAGACTAGGTGTGCATAGGATTCAGTTATAATGGTAAAGTCTTGTGCAAAACTGAGCACACTTCTTAGAAGAAGCAAATACAGAGACTGGTGCACAGTGCACCACAAGGTCCTCAAACAAAACTCAAATTCTGATTCCAGAGTTTTCATTCCCATAGACAGGTTGTCACCAAGGCAATAGGACAGAGTCTGTCCTGCTACTAAGCCATAGCAGTGGGGGAAGTGGATTCATATCTTTACCAAGAGTATTAGCATGTAAGTGAACATAATGGACTTATCAATGTATAATAGTAACAAGAATTTGTTTAAAAAATTCAGATAGAAAGAAGGCCAGAGCATACAGCAACCAAAACATTGTGATACAAAGATACAGAAATGGTTCAAAAGGGTCAATGTATAATAGTAACAAATAATACAGAAAAAGTTGTTACACTGTTAAATGCAGAAGTGAACTTTATATATATATATATATATATATATATATATATATATATATATATATATATATATATTATATATATATAAGAAAAAAAAAAAAAAAAAAAAAAAAAAAAAGACAAATAAAAGAGAAATTTAAAAAAGACAAAACAAAAAAATAGGTGAAACTCTTACCTTTGGTGCCAATCTGAGAAGGTCATACTCAAAAACTTCACCAGAAAATCCTGCAGAGAAAAGCCGATTGCCAACCCAAGCCAACGCTTCTACAGACCGGTCTTTATCACCTGGAATTACTTTTTCTTTGTACCAATTTCCAAGAATTTCGATAGATCCATCCATCCTAAATAACAATAAACACACTGAATTTTCAGGCAGTGGTAAAATTTTTAAAAAATTAAAAATAACCCAGTCAAACAAGCTCTACTTCATGGTGGGATTTGATTTTATTTTATAAAAGTTCTATCATTATTTACATGCAGATTGTTGTCCTCATTTTTGTTGTTTTGTGTCCTCCGGCCTTCATCAAGGGTTCGTCAATCCAAATAACCTTCAGAAAATTTTGAACTGAACCTTTTATTTAATCTATAGGAGTAAATTGATCTCATTCCACTGCTATATCTGGAGATATCTCATCTTGTTTTTATTCAATACAGCTCAGTCATTGCGTATTCCATTTCTGCTGAGATCAAGTCTGCATTGTTGGACCCAGGGACTGTCCTCACATTTAACTCCACCAAATTTAGAAAGTCAGTGTTAATTATTCTACATATAAATATCATGCTAGTAAACATTTATCAATCTAACATGTTTCACTTTTATTAAAGCTTCATCAGAGAAGGAAATATGGAGAAAAAGAAGAAAGAGATTCTGGTATTTTTATTTTTCGTGTTGTTGATTTTCATCAGGTTTCACGTGCATACTACTTGTTAAACAAGTGTTACTGTAATTTATGACATTCCAAATTCAAGAAGAGACAACACGTCCCTTCAAAGTTCCAAGAAATTAACAGATTTTAAGCCTAACTGAAAAACTGTAAATATTGCTTTATCTATGTCAGTGTATAATAATTCTAATTTATTAATGTGGGATTCAGACAATAATGTATATTCATAAGTTTATGTCTAGTGGGCATTATATAGTTTAGTAGTTGATGTCTAGTGGGCATTATATAGTTTAGTAGTTGATGTCTAGTGGGCATTATATAGTTTAGTAGTTGATGTCTAGTGGGCATTATATAGTTTAGTAGTTGATGTCTAGTGGGCATTATATAGTTTAGTAGTTGATGTCTAGTGGGCATTATATAGTTTAGTAGTTGATGTCTAGTGGGCATTATATAGTTTAGTAGTTGATGTCTAGTGGGCATTATATAGTTTAGTAGTTGATGTCTAGTGGGCATTATATAGTTTAGTAGTTGATGTCTAGTGGGCATTATATAGTTTAGTAGTTGATGTCTAGTGGGCATTATATAGTTTAGTAGTTTTCATATACTGATTTGGGAATGTTTTGTTTTGTTTTGTTTTTACATACATACCAATTGTTTTAGATAAACATACGTTAGATTCTTAAAGAATGGATTCAATAAAGGTTGACAAAGTAACATGGAAGGAGGCACGGTGGAGTAATGGATAGCAGCTTGGACTGAGAAATCAGAAGGCTGAGTTTGAAATCTATTGCATTTACTTACATGCTAATACCCTTCTCCTCCATCTATAAGTAAATAGCAGGACAGACCAGGTTCTATAGCCTAGGATGACAACTGGTCTACTGCAGAAAGAAATGGCAACCTACTGCAGGAAAAAATCTGCATCATCAGTCATGTATTGAAAGATACATGATCGCCTATGTGTGCATCACACATGGCACATAATTGACTGAAGTAATATGTGTACTTATAGTTGTTAAATGTTTTTATTAGTAATCTCTCAAAGTACTTCTGATGTAACAAATTGTTCTTTTTAATTAGGGTGGCATTTGTAAAATCAAAATTTATCAGTGGTGTCTAGTTTTTTAGACTTGTGGACATTGTACGCTCGTTTTCTAGCATTGAAGATGAAATGATGTAAGTAGTGATGAAGTCTAAATGTTTTTTCAATCTATTTCTCTTCTTCGTCTAGATATTGAGTTACATATTCTAAAGGCTCTGAGGTAGAATCCTATGACTTGTCCTGGTTTTATATTTTGATTGTGGTGAGAACAGAAATTAATTAGATCATTTTTGTTAGTGGGTATATAATAAACTCTAACACCTAAACCCACTAATGAACATAAAAGGAATTTATGTTTGGACAAACATTTAAACTCACTCATAACACGCAGGAACAAAACTGGGCATGACTTTGACTTTATATATAGGTGTGTGTGTGTGTGTGTGTGTGTGTTTAGTAGGATGTAGAATCTGAGACAAAGTGGAAAAGATTTTTGACGACAATGCATTTTGTGTTAAGTTTTCAGGTCAGAATGAAAGACAAAACTTTGTGTCTCTTTTTATATTAAAAACATTTCTATGAAATTTAATAATTTTTTTATATTCATGATCTGAAATGCTTAATCTATAATGAAAAAAAAAAAGACAATTGTAGATTCTTTGCACAGATGCTTTCAAGAATCTGCTGAGCAGTCAAGTGAAAAATAGATCAACTATTGGACAAATACTATTGTAGAATCCCACCCTCAAAAAAATAAATAGTCCAAATTAATTCCTTACCTTGATAGTGCCAGCTTCTGATTAGTCTCACTATAAGAAAGGTTGGTTATTCCTTTGGGAACATAATGAAAAAAACGGACTTGATGAACACGAAAATCAGACATTGTTTTGTATGCTTGATTTCACACCTGTACAAAAAAGAAAAAAGAAATAGAAAAAAATCACAATCCCTAGTACTGTTTAAATTAAAATTTCTAGTACTCTCTCATTTTCAAGCAATTTTTGGAATCCAAAAATTGCTTGAAAATGAAACAGTACTAGGGATTTTAATTTAATTCTATAATTAAATTTAAAGTTTTAATTTCTGTTTTAGAAACATAGTAATTCCTATGTAGCGATGGGACCATATTTTTAAATTAGTAATTTTATAATGTTTATGCTCTACAGAATTGAATTGAGCACTGTTTTTTAAAAATAAAAATACTTAATAAGAACACCGGATTAGAAACCTTCCTGTTTTTTCTCATTATCTTATATATATATATATATATATATATATATATATATATATATATATATATAAATAAAAAAAAGAAAGAACAGTAAGATATATAATCTGGTGTTAAAATTAAATTGGAGCTTTTAGCTTCCATTTTAAAACATGGTTAGAACTGTGTAAAAAAAACATATTTTAAATCAATTTAATTATATATATATATATATATATATATATATATATATATATATATATATATATATATGCCGATTATATTTAAGGATAAACAGTCATATTACAAATAAAGGAAATAATTTATTAAAATTTGCTATATTTTTAGATTTCATCACTTCATATGCAGAAATATATGGTAATAATAATTAATAATTAAAAAACAAAATGAAATACATTTTCCCATTATGCTGAGAATAAAGGAACTGGAAATATGATTACCCGACTTGGTTTCATCAAGCATCATTAGATTGCATTGTTGAATTAAAAGACAAAACATTTCCTGCCTCACTATCTTTCCTCGAAGATGTAAAGCACATGGTAATTACATTTTCCCCCAGTCCACTGATGACTAAACTATTCCCAATTTCTGATGCATAGCACTCACACATTTCTTCCAAAACCTTCACCTATGAAGTAGGTCAAGTTTTCTCTTTGGTCACTCCAACTTAGTGCAAGGCTGACTTGAGCATAATCATAGTAACAATGCTTGTACTGATTTACCCTAGCACCAAGACTAGGGAAAAGAAAACAGACATCTTAAATATATTTAAACCTTCCAACAATAAAGAGCAAAGTTTTATTTTGTTATTCCAACCCTGCACAAGGCTGACTTGAGCTCAACCATTAATACGATACGTCAACTCGAGCTCAACCATTAATACGATACGTCAACTCGAGCTCAACCATTAATACGATACGTCAACTCGAGCTCAACCATTAATACGATACGTCAACTTGAACTCAACCATTAATAATTACCTACCCTAACTTCTGGACCAAAAAAGAAAACAGACATACCGAAGAAACAGTGAGAACTTTGTTTTACTACAGTCATCATACAAAGAATAAATGTCTGTAGAAGAAACTCAGATTTTTGTATCTTCTTTGTTTACATACTGAACACACACTTTTCACCTAAAATAGACACAAACACTTTTGGCTACTGTTAACCATTATCAAAAACTTTTGGTTTTTTTCATTGTAGTTTGTGTCATTTTTTTTTATATTATTGTTTATGTGTTATGTTTGTTGCTTAGTATGTTTAGTCTAGGTACCTCCACGATGAAAAAGACGCCAAACTTGACAAAAACAAAATTTTATTGTCTAAATGTTTATGTTATTATTAAGAAGAAAGATCAAAGTATTTTGGGGGTATTTTTTACATTTCTTAATCGTTCCTAGCATGTCCAAAATTTTTGTTAAAAATATTTTTTTTTTTTGAGTCAGCAAAATTGATAGATTTCAAACATTTTTTCCATTTTATAAAAAAATGAAAATCTCACTTTGAAATTCTTTTAAATATTAATTATCATTTTTACAAAACTTATTTTTAGAAAATCAAAAATTATAATGTTTATTTAAAATATTTTGAACCAAGCTTAACTTAGCTTCTGCACCAAAAGATGTAAATTGAAAATAAAACAAAGCAGGACATAAACTTTCACATCACTTGACAGATGATAAATGACATATTGACGGATTACGTGAGGATAAATTCTTCTACAGAAGGAGAGGTGAAGTTATTTACATTTAAGTGAACAAATTATTTACCTCGTTATTTTTAAAGAAAACCTTCATTGCTCTAATTTTTTTTTTTTTTTTGTACTTAGCTTTCACCTTTACATTTACAATGCTTTATGGAAAATATATTATAAAGAAATTAAAATAAGACTGTTAAGAGTGAGATTAAATTTCATATTTCATAAGAAAGGTATCTAATGAATTTATAGGTACCTTTCTTATGAAATTTTATCAGAAGTGTATATAAAATACTATAATTTTATGTACATTTATTACATTTTACTGTGTTATTTGTATTTCCATTCATTTTATCAATTTTGATATTTCATTTATGGAAAAATGTTATAACTGAGATTAATATAAAAAGAAGATCATATAAATTTCATAAGATGATACTGATACTTGTAGGTACCCTTCTCAGTTGAAATTGAAAAATCAAATTAACTTCTCCACACATGTTTCACAAAAGTAAAGGCCTTAACAGCGGAGAACAATGCTTAACTCAAATAAAGCAACTTAATTGTATTCTGGTTGGTCTTCCATACTTTATAATTACAGCCCGATTATAAACACAAAATTACATTTTTTTAATTACTGTGGATCTTCTGATTAGTCAAACAAAATGATACAATTTACAACGCACTAAAAAAAGATCTCATAAGGACACTTAGGAAACCCAATGCGGCTTTAACTAATTTTATAATATTTTAACAACTTAAATGTAAAAATCGATTAAAAATAACAATTGTATTAAAAATTCATTTTTCACCGAAAATTTTTTTTGCTTTCAGAAAATATTGTCCATATTCCTAAAAACAACTAAAAGCAAATACAAGCATTTGAAATTCTTTGTTTTATTGAGTTTTGTATGTTACAATTCAGAGCTGATTTTCAGGTAGGGGGGTCCAATTAAAAACAAAAAAAAACATGATTTGTATTCCTCAAAGCCTTGTGCTTTTAAATCACTAAAAACCTGAAGCGATCGAATTTCTAGCGTTTTCATAAAATTAGCTTGGGGGGGGGGGGTTAATAAATTTAAAAAAAATTTCTGCCATGACTTTAATAAAAGAAAAAAAAAAAAAACATATTTATAATAATTTCCATCATCTGTGAATAGTTTCTGAAAGTTTCATTAACATCCGACAATTAATTTTTATTTTTACAAGATTTTCCAAATTAATGTGTGTCATACAAAAAAACGTGCTAAAAATTGTCTACTAGTTACGGTGATACAAAGAGAAACAAGGTTTTTTTTAATCAAAATTTAGAATGTTCTAAAAAGAAGGAAAAATTTTAAAAAATAATTAAAATAAACTTTGATCTTTCCTCTTCTTAGTCTTCTTAATAATAACATAAGCATTTATTTAAGACTATAAAATTTTGTTTTCGTCAAGTTTGGCGTGCGTCTTTTTCATCATGCTATGCTCTTTTTTTAGCAATCTCATGGAGGTACCTATATTTATTTCACTGTAGTGTCTGGTGTGCACGTTTTAAGAGAAAAATACACCTGAAAAGTTTTGCGATTTTTGTTTTTCAGAAATACCCAACATATTTATTTCTAACTTAAAAAAAAAAAAGAATTGTATGTTAGCATTTGACCCAGTAACACTCAAAAGGACATTGTATAGCCCAATATTATTCCATAAATTTTTTTTTTAAATTCAAATTAGCTAACAATACACTAGGCTGGTAAAAAGAATCATTGACATAATAATCAACACACGTGTTTTTCCTCCCTCGCCATTTGAATTAAAATAGAGCGCATTTATTTATTTTACAACAGAACGTGGTCGATTCGAAGAGCAAAAAAAGGCCCTGATGATAACGTTTACTCGAAATAGATTACAATCTTACAAAATCAAATATTTTAATTTTAAATACAAATTTTAAAAGAAAAGTAATGTAAAAAGTACTCACCCACATGGAAATCAAACTCCGTTTACGCATCCGGACCTAACCGGTGTAATTTCCCCTAATTAAAAATAACCCGCCAAATATCTGAACAAAAAAGTATGTTTCGAGCTAGATTTGGATTTATTTTAGAAACAAGGATTACACATCCAAAAAGGACCAGATGCACAAACTAACATTGCCTAACTACATAGTTCTACGCTATGTACTATGGTTAAACGAGGACTAATATTCGTTTATTATTCAATTGAAATAAAAATTTAAAAAAAAAAAAAACGTACACAAACCATAACAAAATACAAATTCTTCTGGAATCTGGATTTATTAATTTTATTATTTTTTACATTTTTTTCAGCAAGTTTATTTTATTTTTTTATTTTTTGAGTTGTACAATGTAACAATAATAATAAATTAATTACCGCGACCAGAAATAATCATTTTGTTCATTTTTTTTCTTTTAGATTACTAAGCATTCCAGATTAAGAATTTTAATATTTTTTTATTATGTTTTAAAAACTTTTATAAAAGTTTTAGCCTAGGGGGTCCATTTTGCTATGCAAATTATTGTAGATTTTTAAGAAATCCCATGGCGTGACTATTTTGTCTTGGCTTCTGTAGTAGTAGTAGACCTCCATTTATCTCGCGTTTGGTAAAAAAAAAAATCACTCCTTTGGTGGTGATACTGGAGTGAACTTGGGCGCGTGTTCATTGGCGCATATATCTTTTGTATTATTAATGATTCAAGAAAACAACGAAACTCCAAATATGAATCAACAAGTATATATTGAAATAACATACAAGAACAAAATATACAATAATTTGTATTCAATGTATAGATTAAGGGAAAAGAAGTTGCTTCCCTTTTACCGTATTTTGATTTGTAATTGATTGTTCGAAAGAAAATTCTCTTTAGAGAGAAATGTTCAGGAATCAATGTTAGAACAAGTCTGCTGTTAGAATAGATAACACAAGAATACAATTGATCAGAAAGTGTGTTGTGTT